GTAGCTTGTACTGTCACCAGTACAAGCTTCAGGGTGCCCCGTTACAAATGAACTATATTAAACTACGTCGTCGTATGACGACAACCTGCTCACCACTCATTGCGCGCATCTAGCAGCGATTGGTGGTAATCTGTGGTCGATATGTCTTATATCAACCAACCTGGGAGCAGCGCATGAAAATTATCCTAAAAGGGGATGAGAATCCTTCAATATTATCCATCTTAGATAAAATCGGTAGAATGTTGTCATACTAAACTATGTTCCAATTTTGACACCGTTTGGTGTCAATATCATGTAACGAGCTACCCCGTTACATCACCCCCCCTAACCATCAACCACCCGTTGATTAAATAGAATAGTTTGGGACAGGGTGACCACTGTTGGATCACTATGGGAAAGGGAGCACTTGTTGGTCAAATCCCATTTATTTTGCCAATCCAACGCATGATTTCAAAACCCAAGCGAGTTGCTACTGCAGCAGCAAGAAAGGCGGCATGCGTGCAGTGCAGCCGGAGAGAGTACATCTCACACCTCAGCCGCAAGTGATTCGTCGCCTGCTGCTGTAAACAGTCCACGTGGTGAGTCACCACGTGCGACAGGTACATCCGCTGCGTCTGCAGCGGGTACCGCGAATCGTAATCCAGGGAAGCCTAAAATAGATCTCATCTATTCTGGCGAGTCGGATGATGTATCCGACTCGAAGGCGACACCTCACGCTTCCGGATCATCTGGGGCGGACACTGCAAGAACCAGGTTGACTGGTTCTGGTCAACGTGGCGGCATCATGCTCGAGATCTTTGGATCGAGCAATTGCTCCGATAAATCCTCCCCTCATGCTAGTCCATCCAACGATAGGCCGCGTGGGGATGGTGGTATTGCCCTATACATCATCACGAGGTAATTAACTTAAGGGATCTAGGGGTCACTGGTGTCAGTGCTCATGCTGACACCAACTAGGAGGCCAGGGACCGAAATGTCCTGCGCCGCGCTCCCCAAGTGGAGTCTCCATGGATGCCGTCATCCAAAAGTTGGACAGGATGACTGGCATGACTACTGAACGGGATCGAATCCTGTTGCTCGATTGTAAGAAGATTTGCCCACCTAATTCCAGCACGGAAACTATCCGTGCTGAGGAAGAGTTCTTCACTGACGCATTTTTCAAACATCGGTGGTACAATAAAAAAAAATATTATTTTTTTCAAAATTAATTTGTTTTTTTTTTCGTTGTCAAAAATTAATTTTTTTTTCTAAATTTTAAGTTATAGCAAATTTTTGGTAAAAAAAATAAGTAATAAAAAAATAAAAATTAAAAAAAAAAAATAAAAACCATGAAACTTGATTTAATTAATTTTTTTGAAATGACCTTTTCAAAATCCAGCCGTGTTTGAGACGAAAAGGCCTTGGTGCAAGGATGGAATGCTTTCATCCATAATATCGAGCGCATTGGTCGTGAGGCCTGGCTCGCCAAACTTGATGCAGCCTGCATCAGGTTTGAGAAACGCAACCCAGTCGTGGTGCGATACAAGTTGCACCGGCTTTCAATAGAGGCAGGGCTACCCTGTCTCTCGTGGGGTGATTCGTGTCCAGGTTGTCTGGACAACTCGAATCGTGCCCCTAGGGAGGCCTTTTTCCCTAATGATCCCTACTGGAGGGCGCGCATCTCTCCCGAGACGGCCGAAAGGATTGACACCTTGCAATCCCTGTACTCGCGTTCGGGGAGGTCATTTTCCGACGGCCCTTATTCGAATGCAGCGGGTGGGTCTCTTCATATTGCTAGACGAGACCCAGGTCATCAAAAATCAGCTGGGCACGAGGCTCCCAGCTGTCCCAGGCCAGTGGATACCCACGCCAGCGGACGAGGTAGCTCGTCCGGACGCCATTCACGTCGCGGTGGTTCAAAACACGTTCCACCAGAAAGCGTTGACCACTGCTAGAATCCACCAAAGGGTGTGGTGGTGGCGGGAACACCTGATCCGGCTTGAGGATTGGATCAGCTTGATGTTCAGGAGCTGGACCGTGTAACGGAACAGTAACGCGATGACCTGGCAAACGAACGGACTCGGCGTTATGAGCTTCATGACATTGTAAAGGATAATTAGAATTCCTTAGCGCACGATCGATCGAAAGATCGTGCCGCGTTTGCGTTTGCGAAACTTGAGAATGAACGTTCGATTCGTTATTCTCGTGAAGAGCTTATTTCATCTCGTCAGGACATCGCTCAACTGCGTGAGCAGGTCGCTTCGCTAGTCGACCAGACTGGCTCGTTGAAACGGAACCGCTCGAGTGTGTTCCTGTGCCTTGACCGCGAAGGTGTTCTTCGCCTCTCTTATTGGGCTCGTACTGATAGCACGAGCGGAGACGTCCAACGTAAAACGTAGAATGCGTGCGCATCCTACGAGGCAGTTCAATCGTGGATGCGTTGCCCATGCGGCGCAACACACTAAAGGGACCGATATACTTAGGCCGTAGTTTACTGGTGCCCACGTATGCCACTGCGTGTTTCGGTAGATTTACCGTTGGTAGTAAAACTAAGTCTCCTTTATCAAATGAAAAAACAATTGCTCTTCCATGTTTGTATGCGTTTTTCTTCTGTCCGTCTCGTGCATCTGCAATAGAGTCTTAAAATGAAGCGGACAACCGCTTCGCGAGTCAGCATAAATTTATCTGCTGATTCATCCTTGTCAACAGCAGTGCGCTTCGTGTACACTGCTTAAAGAACGTTGTCTTCACCACTGAGGGTATCATCGTCCTCACATTGGCGGTCATTGGCGATGCCGAATATTCCAGCATCGTCGTCATCGTCATCATCGACATCGATCCCATCGACATCGGCATCCGTCACATTGACACCATTGTCGACGTGCGATGAGCAAGAATCAGATCGGTTTTCGTTTGAGCGAGTCCCCCCCCTTAAACTTGAGTCACACTCTAACGAGGCGGGTAAACGTGGATGGCGTTGGCCATTCACGAAGAACGGTGTATGCGTTGTAGACGCGTGCACCGAGTTATTGATGGCGAGTTCCGCCATCGGCAAGAACTCACTCCAGCTCGCCAACGAGTGGACATACCCTCGAAGTATCTCTTCGAGAACGCGGTTGACGCGTTCCGTTTGACCATCTGTTTCGGGATGGTCAGAAGCCGATATCTTCAAACGTGCTCCAAGTGAACGGAACACGGATTGCCAGAACTCCGCTGTGAAGCGGAGTCCCTATCAGACACGAGTTCACGGGGTGCCCGTGAAGTCGGAAGATAGTATCGAAGAAGACACGACCACAGCCCTGAGCTGTGATTGACTCCGGTGCAGCAACAAGATGTACCATCTTGCTGAACCGATCAACAAACACAAGGATACCAGTATTTTTTGAGCGTCTTTGAAAAATCCAAAGACGAAGTCAATCGATACGGGCGGTCAGAACTCTGCCGAAAATGGTAGAGGCTGCAAGGGTGCGTGGGATGAAGGACTAGGCTTCACCCGTTGACAAACTTCGCAAGCGCGAGTGCATTTCGCACAAACTCATACTGGCGGGGCCAGTAGAAGTCACGATTCACCATTAGGTAGGCCTTTCTCTACCGCGATTTCCACTTGTTGGGGCATCATGATAATCATACATGATGCGCCATCGCAAATCATTATGAGCCGGAACGACGACACGAGGTGTGTCGCCGTTGACTGCTGTATAGTATAGTAGTCCATCAAAAACCGAATACCGTTCGGTTGAGGGGCGGTATTGAGACGACAAGCTTTTCAAAGCTTGACTGCATGGATTAGACACGTAATCCAACCAACTTAGAAGAGACTCATCTTCTGTGAATGCTTTTCGCACGTCGTCGAGCAAATTCGACGACGGAACACTCACTGTTAGTGTTGCTACAGTGCGATCACCCCTACTGTTGTGTTAAGCAGTCAGCTCGAAATCGGGCCGACGCAAAAAAAGCATCAGCGACGACATTTAGTCGTCCTGGTTAATACTCGACGGAGAACTTGTACTCCGTGAAGAAGACAGCCATCTAGGCGACGACGCGCTCAACGCCGTCTGAGTCGTAATGCATTAACGCGCAGCCGATTGCAAAATCGCTGGCGTCACAGACCACATGGAATGGTCTGTCCCGGTCTGCGATCGCCAACACAGGCGATTGTATCAAGCTTTTCTACACACCTTCGAAGGAGTGCTGACACTTAGCACTCCATGACCACCTCTCGTTTTTCTTTAGTAGACGAGAGAGGAGTACGGTCATCTCGGCATAGTTGCGCGAGTACTTGTCCAAGTACGCCGCTGATCCAAGTAACCTTGAAGTCCCCGTACGTCTACTGGCACAGACCAGTCGCTAATCGCGTTGATCATTTTCTTGATCAGGCCGCACGCCGTCTTTACCCACGATGCAGCCAAGAAGTGGAATATCTCTCACGGAAAATATACACTTTTTCAGGTTGCGAACACCTTATGCTCTCGAGTTAGTGTAAGAACCTTCCAAACGTGGATTCTTAGAACCTCCACGTCCGTCTTTCCATCCTTAGCCCGGCTATGGATGAAGACATCGTCGATGTAACTCGGTGTGAAATCGCGCACCAATCGCAACAGATTCGTAACACATCTGTTTAACGTTGCGGGGGCGTAACTTAGCCACTGTGGCCTCACAAGTCACTCCCAGAGCATACCGCTGGGGGTGCTCACTGCTGTGTACGGTATGTCCCGTTCACACATGAAAATCTGATAGAATCCATCCATCAGATCCATGGACGAAAAGATGGTTCTTTTTTACCATACCATCAATGATTACGTCCTTCCTTGGTATCGGCGTTTGAGTTGGTACCGTTGCAGCATTCAACTTTTTGAGCGCTTGCACTATCCGCCACCCTTTTGTGGCTTTTCGCACACAGAAGGTCTGAGAGCTGTATGGGGATGTTGATTCCCTCACACGACCAGCCGCTAAGCGATAGGAAATAATTTGTCGATCGCCGTGAACTGTTCTCGAGGAAGTGGCCACTGCTTCATGACACATTATTTTGAACCGGGTTTCAGTTCAATCTCATGCTGAGTGACTTTGCCTTTGGGCAGATCGCATGGCACGGATTCAGGTAAAACATCTCTTAATTCCACCAAATCCTTATACAAAGGATTTGCCTTCAAAGACTCCCAAGATTGAGACGTGTATCGCTCAGTCTGAGTCGTCTTATCAAAAACACTCTCATCCATCGACGAGCTACTGATAACCTGTTCGTTCTCAGTAAACACTTCTGTTGACCGAATATCGGCGACGCACTCGTCTTCTGTGACGAGTACGCAGATCTGATTGATCTTGTCACTACGCAGATCTCGCAAGGATCTTTTAGATTCAAGCGTGGGCAGATTGACCACCTCCGAAGCTGACTTCGGGGGCGTCACCAGATTAAGTGTATAAGCACCTATACTTGATCCGTCATTCACCAAGACATTCACTGTCTCGGTGGTTTCCTGGGAAAACACGTCCGCAGGTGGCTGGGGATCCACACCCTCAACATAACTCTCTCGGGAGTTATTGCTCTCAGGAACGCCGAAATTTTCTTCCGTTACGGGTACTATCATGGTCACGTCCTCTTCAGTTGACTATCTTTCAGTCGAGCGGGCTTGCTCTACGATTAAATCCCTGATAGTCGATCTCGCATCAACGTGTTGTCCATCCTGAACAGCACTAGTCTCTTTTCTCGGATGCACCCTTCTTGGTGTGCATCCGTGTTTCAGTCCACTCGATCTCTTCGAGTGGTGAACCTTCGGCGCAGCCTGTGTATCTGCACAGGTGCCAGAGGCTGGTTCCACAGTTCAGTGACCTTCTACAATGCGACCTTGTGCAATCGTACTAACGACCTTACCACAAGTGAGGACATCGCACTCACTCGTAGTACATCCACACGCTTGTGGACGGTCCAAGACGTTCATCAGATGGCCATCCGTTGAACAAACGGCAGGTATCTTTACGGATCGATGCTTCCAGCTAACCCATGGTTGGTACTTTCTAAGCCAAGGCAGACCAAGGATGACATCAAATTTGTCATCCAAATCCAATACGATAAAGTCATCATCGCACTGTTTTCCTTCTAGCGTGTAGTGGATTCCCACTACACGTTTGTTCAATGTTACGGATGCGCCTGTAGCAAGGCACACCGTCATCCTTGTTGGAGGGAAATCTCGCTATGTACAGCTGAGCCTGTTATATTCTAGCGACTGGCGTCGAATGAAATTGTTCGACTCCCCACAGTCAACTAGGGCGCGACGTGATATTCCACTTGTCACTTCGATCTTTAAAGTGATAAGGAACGCCTCATCACTAGAGGCAGTAACACAGCAACTGTGTGTTGCTGCCCAATCTTTTTTAAGAGTCCTGCAAATTCTCTTGACGTTGCTGGATCAGCAGGGTGCTCCAGTTCCTACTGATCCTGTCCGTTTTTTGGCGGTCCGACTTGCTGTCGCGGATAAGCGACATGGTCGGACCTGCGCCTTGGACCTTGCTTTGGCCTCCGACGGTCATCAACTCCTTTTTTTGGACGTGATGCGGTGCTTGGGACACTACACTCATGAGCTTAGTGTCCAATCTTCTGACAGCGAGGGCATCTTGCCTTTCGCTTGTGACTCAGAGAGCAAGAGTTCTCGCTCTCGATGTAACAGAGGTCCATTGGTTCGGGACCTCCTGTCTCCTGTCGTCACGTCGGACGAAAATTTGACTAGTTAGCCTGAGACTGTATTAGCCAAAGTCCTCTTGTTCCGCTATCGCCTTTTCCAGCGTATGGAAGTCCTCTTGGAACATGTAGGTCTTCACCGGACCATCTTCAAGGCCGTAAATGAACACGTTGATGAGCGTGTGCTCATCAAAAGGGTTTTCCGTAACGCTGCTCGCAAGGTAGCGCAAGTGTTGTGCGTAAGCGTGTACGTCACGCTTACCTTTTTTAGCCTCAAGAGTGCAGAGCGTGCTCTGAACTCGGCTCTCGGCGGCTCAAACGTCTCTTTGAGCCAAGACTTCAAGATCGTTAACGACTCAAACACGTTTGTTTCGTGAAGCTTGAGACCTAAGGCCCAAGTCTTTGATGTTCCTGTCGAATTGGACAGGCGAAGGTGACTTGCATCTCGTCACCCTGGATGCGACATGCCCTGATTGCGTCGTCTAAATTGACGAATCTACTCAAAAGGGAATCTTCATCGGTTCCCTTGTACCTTAAGGTATCGATCTCCAAGGTTTCGGGTTGACGCGTATGCGTCTACCCGCCCATCGACTGATGAGATCCTTGCTGACGTAGCAAGGCTATCTTCTGTCTTTCAACGGCAAGTTCCCCTTGTAGGAACGAGTTGGTAGCGACCTTTATTTAGGTTTAACTCTATCGAATTTTTTCTTTAATAGTACCTAATCTAGGCACTCATGTCCTAAACTAAGATCTTCAATATCTTTCCTATCTTGTGGCTGACACCCTTCAGCCTTTATAAGCCGATTAGACTTTCCATATCTTTTACAGTGGGATACCATCTCGTGTGTCCACTACACGGGGTACCGAGTATCCTACAATGTGTAATTCCTTAACACCCTCCCCCACCAAACTGACGTTTGCCCAAACGCCAACTGAACGTTGTTCCTCAAGGAGACCAGTGCGCTTGCGGTTTACCTCACGGCAACGAAAAGCTACATACCATGTACTCATCGCCTAACGAGTCACAAACGCTTCGTGCAAACCTCGAGATGGGGGAGATAGGTAACTATGGTAGTGACCCCAGTTTCCCGAGTGATGCACGGACAATGTCCTATACACCCACGCCTGAGGTACTACCTCCTACTACGTTAATTCCGTTCTATGAACGTGATGATGCGAATGCGCCATTGGTGCCGCATTCAACACCCAGTTCGGATGATGAATTCATTACCAGCCCTCTCGGTAAGCAGCAACAGTTGACTGTTCAACAAGAAGAAAGCGCTCGGCGCCATACACAAATGGTCACGACATTTGTGAACCAGCGTGACTATGTGTTCACTCCACTCGGTGTAGAGGAAAGTCTACGTCAAACGACTGGCCAAACGTTGGCAACCTGGACTATTTGTGCTAAATCTACTTCTTCCGAGGAATAGACAAGTGGCCAGGCACTTCGTAAAAAGTACCTGGAGCCATATCTAGCATGCAAAGTCAGTACAAAGCAAGCCTTGAGATGCAAGCACGTGGTGCACCTGTTCCAGAGATTAAGGATGTACCCATTTTCTTGTTCGCAGGCAGAACAAAAGGAAAAAGATGACAACGACTTCATTCGCTGGGAACATCGCACTCGCCGCCTCAGCAGTATGTACGTTTTCAAGAGCTAACGTCAGTGTGCCTGATGTGCGTCTCGAACGCAAGCTTCGGTATTATTATGCTAAGCTTGAGACCTGAAGCCAATTGCGCAATCATACGCGCTATGCTTCGGCTACTTCGATAGCCGCGTTTGCTGGTCAGATTGTGACCATCCATTCGCCAACCCTCACCACTATCGTTTTGAAACGGCCCTGGTCTCGAGATGACCCTGGCCACGATTCTTAAAAACGTCCACAGCAAAGGGCCTTCTTTCCATAAAGAAATCTCATACTCTTATGAGTTCTCCAACTCCGGGTACCCTCGCCACTTTACCAGATTTTGGGATTGGCCATGACGACGACTTCGTTCCAGGAGTCTCTCCACATGGAACTGGTGGCTCCCTTGCTCATCGAGCAGCGTCGGTGGAGGTCGGTGTGGCACTATTGATCGCAGTCCCGCGCGTCGTGCAGCAGGGATGCGTCATTGACAAGGTGACGTCTACGACCGCTGCCGAGGACCCAGTAGTCATCCTTGTCGTCGCCAAACGCCATCGCCAGACCTTGTCTTGTGTCCTGTGTGACGCGCGAGCCGTTGCAACCTGTTCATTCGCCGGCAGCTAAGCGTAATGCTCCCACTGTCTTTGTTGCCTTTACCGACCTATCTGTCTTCAGTATTCTTGCTGCGACAATCCTTCTCTAGGTGACTAACTTTCTTCCATCCATGGCAAGTGCGTGTTTTCTTGCGCGACGCGGACTCATCCGCGTGCGAAACGACTTCCGTCGCGAAGGATCGTTTCGATCGAGCTTCCACCTCTTTTTCTTGCGCGACGCGGACTCATCCGCGTGCGAAACGACTTCCGTCGCGAAGGATCGTTTCGATCGAGCTTCCACCTCTTTTTCTTGCGCGAAATGCGCGAGATCTTTCGCGTGGACGAGGTATTCGATGCGGTGCGTCTGGTACTTCGCCATGAGAATCGTCGCCAGCTCAGGCGAGGCGTATCGCACGATGCTGTCGAGGACCTGCTGCTCAGCGCCGCTCGCAGCGTCGATGATAGCGACTAGGTACTAATAGTGCCTGGCTAAGACCTCCTGGTAATCTTCTTAGCCGTAAAGAGCTTTATCGCTTGAGAGGCGGGGATCGTCGTCTTGAACGTGTCCAGCATGCGCTGCATCACGTACTGTAATGTCGGCAGTACGGCCCACCTCGTGTTGACCTGCTTATTCAAGTATCACTCGGCAGTGCCAGGGAGTTACTGCCCGAGTACGACGTCCTATAAGTTCTCGCTCCACAGGAAGTCGCAAGACTCCTTTGCCATGTTGGCCTGGCGCCAAAACGTCGTGCCCCAGTCGAAGTAGTTGGACCCGAGTCCAAGGCACATCTCGGTGCCATCGAACTTGCGGCTTGCCAGCTTGCGCTGCCTCGCGTCCGGAGTGCGATACTGCATCGGCGTCACTTTTTGCCACTGCTACACGGGTTGCTCTTGAGCTTCAGACATCGCCTGAGGCGCTGGTGGTGGCTGGCATGGCGGCAATGATGCAGGCGGCTGAGGCAACGGATCAGCACGCTAGTGCAGCTGCTGTATCACTCGCATCCGTAGATCGTCGAGCCGCGCTGGTGTGCGCCGTGCTTGCTGCGGAGGCTGCTTATCGTGCAAGTTCTCAAGCTCCATAGCTCCACCAGGCGGAGTCGCCCTACGAAGTCTGCCTCGATCTCTGATTAGAACAGCCCGCTCTCGGAGCGTCGCGCATGCACTCGTCTTCTTTCATGCATGCTTGTGACTTTCCTATCCTCTGCATCCGCAGATACATGCCTGTGAGCATCTCGAAAATTCTCGCTTGAGCATAAGTCTCCACGCTCCTTGCGTGAGCAGTGGAAGAGACGACCGTAGCAGGCTAAATCGTGGCCCTTTCGAGACCGTTGCCGACGGCGCCTGTTCCGCGTTGGTGTCGCCGTTTGCTTCCTAATTCGGGCTCATAACCCTTTTCGTTAGACATTGGGCTAGGCAGAGAGAGGGTGTCGAGTGTAACGGGGTGAATCGTTACATAACAATTTATAAGAAATTGTTAATAGAATATAACTATAAGAGTGATATTCTCAGAATATTGTCATAAGGACAAATATTCTGTAGCACTTACGAGTAGTTCCTAATTGGTTGATATAGGCCATTATATCAACCAAAGAAGACGCGCCACGACAGACGCACGCAATGAGTGGTGAGCAGATAATCAATTTACACATTTGTATTTAGACATAGTTAGATGAAGATAAATAGTGATTTATTGCAGACATTAACTATACTAAATACAGTTCTACTTTTTACTTTAACCAAGTACTCGCTTCTTCCTACCGTCTTCCTCTGCACGTACGAGTGTACGTGAAGTTACGAGGCACCGCCTTATTCTGTCATCAGAATAAGTAGCTTGTACTGTCACCAGTACAAGCTTCAGGGTGCCCCGTTACACCTGGTAGCACTTCGTAGTCCGTCCAAGGACCGCGTTCACATCCAACATGAATATGTTGGATGATGAAGATGACCAAAGCTTTCACGCTACGCGTGACGGCTACTCCCATTTGAGCGATGTCGAATGGGATGCGGTTGAACAAATGGGTTCGACCATGGGCATCCATGCTGTTAGCGTCATGCTAGAGGCTCTCAATAGAGATGCCCAACATGCTACTATCGCCAAGTTCATTCAAAATGAACTTGACGCTGAACGCGAGAAAGTAGCCTTGCTTCACCAACAAGGTTCTCAACAAGCAGAGTTGTTGAGAGAACAAGGTGCTCAACAGTTTGAACTGTTGAGACAGCAGCAGGCTGCTGCTGGCGGGTCGATGCACTCGCGTCGACCCGAGACTTTGAAGATTGACATCTCAAAGTATAGGGGAGTCGAAGAAGACTCCCTCTTGAGATGGTTCGTCGAATTGGATGACGCCATAAGGGCGCGTCGCATCGACGACGGGGATAAGCAAGTTGCATTTGCCCAGTCAAATCTGGCAGGACGTGCCAAGACTTGGGCACTGGGGCTCAAGTTGCACGACCCATATGCGTTTGGGTCGTTGGAAGTCTTCAAGTCGCGGCTCAGACAAACCTTCGAACCGCCTAGAGCTGAGTTCAGGGCTCGAACCGAACTCTTGAAGCTCAAACAGGGTAAGCGTGATGTGCACGCTTACGCCCAACATATACGACATCTTACGAGTTGTATAAGTTCCAATCCGGTGGATGAACACACGTTGGTTTCGGTGTTCATGCAGGGTCTTGCGGATGGTCCCGTCAAGACTCACCTGTTCCGGCTTGAGCTAGATTCACTAGAACAAGCCATTTCCATTGCGGAACAGGAAGACTTCAGTCTGAGACAGGCTCGCGCCAGCTCGACATCATATCGTCAACCGAGACGATATGACAACGGAGGTCCAGAGCCGATGGAACTCTGTTATGTAGAGAGCGAGAAGGCTCGCTCTACAGGCTACAAGAAGTTGCAGAGATGCAACAGATGTCAAAAGACAGAACACTACGCTTACGAGTGTAGTGCCCCTCGTCCAGTGTCTCGCAACACTGGGCGTAGTGACCGTCCACCCATGAGAAAATGGCAGGTACGCGGGTCCGCAGTTGGTGCAAAGACGCAACAACGGGATGGACCGTCAAAAAACGGACAGGATCAGTAGGTGCGGAGCACCCTACTGGTCTAGCAACGTCAAGAGAATTTGTAGGCATCTTGATGAAAGTTGCTCCCAACACACAAACGTTGTGCGTTGCTGCTCTAGGTAATGAGGTCTCACTCATTACCTTGAAACTCGAAGTGACGAATAAGTTGTCCCTTCGAGCTCTAGTCGATTGTGGGGCGTCCAACAATTTTGTGCGACGCCAATCGCTAGAAGATGGTCACTTTAAATTCAGTGAATGTGACACACCTCCTACGAGGATGACGGTACGTCTTGCGACAGGCGCATCCGTAACCGTCATGAAGCGTATAGTGAAGATCCACTAAACGCTAGAAGATACCCAATATGACGATGACTTTATCGTATTGGATTTGGATGACAAATTTGATTTCATCCTTGGAATACCGTGGCTCAGAAGGTACAAACCACGAGCAAACTGGCAACATCGAACAGTAACGATGCCTGCCGCTTGTTCATCAGATGACCATCTGATGAACGTTTTGGAGCGTTCACAAGCTTGTGGATGTACTACGAGTGAGTGCGATGGCCTCACTTGTGGTACGGTCGTTAGTACGACTGCACAAAACCTTAGTGTACCAAACGGTTACACTTCGGAGCAAAGTTCCGGCGGCTGTGAGGAAACACAGGCTGCGCCGAAGGTCCACCACTCGAATAAGTCGGGTGGACCGGGACAAAGATGTATCCCTAGCGGGGAACATCTAGAAGAGAAACAATCGATCGCTCAGGTTAAGCGAAACGATAATCCTAGATCGACTGGAGAGTCTTTCGTAGAGGATCTCGCTGTGGTTGCGCAACCCCAGCTAGAGGAAGTAAAGGGAATAAGTCCCAAGATTACAAATACGGCGGAAATAAGTTCCCCGAAACCCGCGGGAATAAGTCCCCGGGAAGACGAAGGAATAAGTCCTTCGAAGCCTGAGGGAATAAGTCCCCAGGAAATGACAGAGACATTGAATGTGTTAGTCAATAACGGATCAAGCGTAGGCGCTTATACACTAGACCTGATTGCGCCTACGAAGTTGACTTCGGAGATCACTCAGTTGCCAACGCTCGAACATAAAAGGTTCTTGCGTGATCTGTGTAGTGGCAAAGTCAAGCAGATCTGCGTACTCGTCGCTGACGACGAGTGTGTAACCGACATAAGGTCAGCAACAGTGTTCACTGAGAACGAGAGAGTTCTCAGTAGTTCATCTATGGACGAGAGTGTCCTAGATGAAAAGACACGAATTGAGCGATATGACTCCCAATCGTGGGAATCGCTCAAGAAAAATCCTCTCTATGAAGATTTGGTTGAATTCAAGGATGTATTCCCTGAAAGTGTTCCGTGCGAATTACCGAAGGATAAAGGTATTCGACACGAGGTCGAGCTTAAACCAGGCTCGAAGTACTGTGTCATGAAGCAGTGGCCACTGCCTCGTGAACAAGTACTTGCGATCGACAAGTTCTTTGCCGATCGTTTAGCTGCGGGCCATGTGAGGGAATCAACTTCCCCACATAGCTCTCCGACCTTCTGTGTGCGAAAAGCAACAGGAGGGTGGCGGATAGTGCACGCGTTTAACAAATTGAACGCTGCAACGGTACCGGCTCAGACGCCGATACCGAGGAAGGACGTAATCATTGATGGTATGTCAAAGAGTACCATCTTTTCGTCCATGGATTTGATGGATGGCTTCTATCAAATCCTTATGCGGGAACGGGATATACCCTATACCGCAGTTAGCACGCCTAGCGGCATGCTCTGGGAATGGCTAGTAAAGCCACAAGGGCTCAGTAATGCCCCTGCCACGTTCAACAGATGTGTATCACATCTGTTAAGACCAGTACGATAATTCGCGCCGAGTTATTTCGATGACGTATTCATCCATAGTCGAGCTATGGATGGAAAGTCGGACGTTGAGGTTCACAGGTACCACGTCCGACAAGTTCTTACAATCATGCGAAAGCATCAATTGTATGCTAACCTCAAGAAGTGTATATTTGCAGCAAGCGAAATACCACTTCTTGGGTGCATCGTTGGTAAGAACGGTGTACGTCCTGATCCCGAAAAGATCAAGGCGATCACCGACTGGCCTGTGCCGGTCGATGTCAAAGGTCTTCGAAAATTTCTTGGGCTAGCGGCGTATTTGCATAAGTATTCACGCAATTACGCCGAGATGACTGTGCACCTCTCTCGTTTGTTGAAAAAGATTAAGAGGTGGTTATGGAACGCTGAATGTCAACGCTCCTTTGAGGGTATCAAGCAGAGCTTGATACAATCCCCAGTCCTAGCAATAGCCGATCAGGACAGGCCATTTCATGTGGTCTGTGATGCCAGCGATTTCGCAATCGGCTGTGCATTAATGCAGTACGATCTTGAAGGCGTTGAACGCGTCGTCTGCTATCAGTCGCGTCAGCTGCAACCAGCTGAGCGGAACTATCCAGTGCATGACAAGGAACTCCTTGCCATGAAGTATGCACTCGCGAAGTTCAGAGTCTATCTATTAGGAGATAGACCCTTCGTTGTTTACACTGACCATGCGTCATTACGCACGGCAGTGAACAGCCTGCACCTTTCACAACGAATGGCGCGGTGGTTGTCATTCTTTGCGGAATACAACTTTACGGTCGAGTACAAACCAGGACGACTTAATGTCGTCGCTGATGCACTCTCACGTCGTCCCGACTTTGAAACAGTCGCGAAACCCAACAGTGAGACAGTCACTGTTGCGGTTATGACGTCCTCAGTCCCATCTACAACGTTGTATGATGATGTGAGGCGGGCATACGCCCAAGATGGTGAGATTGTGAAGTTGTTGACACATCTCTCACAGCCATCTCGAGAATCGTTGAAACGATTGTCGTCTGCGTATCGATCTGCATCAGATCGATACACTACTCGCAACGGGTTACTGTATTATACAGCCGTTTCTGGTGACACACCACGTGTTGTCATTCCAGATGATACTGATCTGCGTTTGCGGATCATGTTCGAGTATCACGATGCTCCTATAGGAGGACATCGTGGCCGAGAGAAAACATATCTCACGGTAAGTCGAGACTTTTACTGGCCCCGCCAGTATCAGTTTGTGCGAAAGTATGTTCGCGCATGCGAAGTCTGTCAACGAGTGAAGTCAAGTCCTTCACTGCGTGCACCTTTACAGCCTCTACCGGTTCCGGCTGAGTGCTGGGAATCCATCTCAATGGATTTCGTCTTCGGGTTACCCAAAGACGCACGCGGGAATACGGGTATTCTAGTATTTGTTACCAAGTTCAGCAAAATGGTACACCTTGTGGCTGTACCAGAGTCACTTACAGCAAGTGGCTGTGCTTGTGTCTTTATTGACACCATCTTCCGACTTCATGGGTTGCCCCGTGAACTCGTATCAGACAGAGATCCACGATTCACTGCTGATTTCTGGCGTTCCGTGTTCAAATCACTCGGAACGCGCTTGAAGATGTCAACATCTGATCATCCAGAGTCAGATGGTCAGACGGAACGTGCCAATCTTGTCCTTGAAGAGATACTTCGAGGATACGTACACTCCTTTAAGAGTTGGAGTGAGTTTTTGCCAATGGTAGAGTTTGCCATCAACAACTCGGTGCATGCGTCCACGACACATACACCGTTTTACGTGAATGGCTTGCGCAATCCGCGTGTACCCACCTTACTAGAGTGTAACTCTGGTTTAAGGGGGGGAGGGACTCGCGCGAGCAAAAATCGATTTGGTTCACGCTCATCACGCTCTGACGAAGAGGTCATTGCGTTTGATGCCGATATCGATAACATCGATATCGAAGATGCTGCCAGTGAGAGAGCGGAAGTCCTCACTGAAGAAGATGATGCCAGTGAGAGTGCGGAAGCCCTCACTGAAGAAAAGGTTGTTGTCGCTGCAGTGCGCTCACAGCACACTGAAGCTAACGAGTCATCAGATGAGTTCATACTGGCTCGTGAAACGGTAGTCCGTTTTGTGCAAGACTCCATCGCCGAAGCGGTGGATAAGCAAAAGCAAAACGCTGACAAGAATGGAAGGGCAAACACTCTTTTATTTAATAAAGGTGACTTAGTCCTACTGTCTACGGTTAATCTACCAAAGCATGTAGTGACTAACTTGGGTAGCAGTAAACTACTACCCAAGTACATTGGCCCATTTCGTGTATTGCACCGCCTAGGCAATGCATACACGATCGAGTTACCACGTAAGATGCGAACGCATCCCACGTTTTACGTTGGTCGGCTTAAGCCGTACCATCAGTACGCTGCTTCTTCCGATGAAGAACGCCCTTGCGCTCAAGCATCTCGCAGAGAGCCTTGTGCTCCCGATGGTGGGCATCAACAAGGGTCTGAAGAGCAGCTATCTCATCCCGAGACCGATCAGCAATCCCACGAGCTACCCTTAGCTCGTCACGAAGAGATGTCAGAGATCTCTCGTTCTCGAGCTGAGCAAAGGCAAACTCAGCTCGATGCTTCGAGGCAGTGTCCGCCATTTGGAGACGCCTATTCCGCTCATGTTCGAGATCGTCGCGTAACCCTTGCGTTACGCGATCAAAGAAGCTCTCGGGAACACACCGATCCACATGATCGTGTGGAGAGCGTCTTTCCTCCTCCTCCACCTCCATTAGAGGACTCTCGCGGTGGCCAGCGCTATCTAGTTGAGCAGCTGTTGAACCACCGCGACGTGAACGGACGTCGGACGAGTTATCTCGTCCGGTGGCGCGGCTATCCCCCGTCCTGGGATTCTTGGGAGCCCCGCTCCCAACTGATGATCGACGTACTGGGTCTGGTTGAGCAGCACGACGCGGCACATCCTGTGCCGCAGAAGGACCGCCGGAGAAAGTCTTCCCGGCACGGTCGTAAAGGGATTTCAGGTTGTCAATCCCTTCGTACATCTCAGTAGAGACACGTACGCGCCACCACGGGCTGGTAAGGAGGTAAGCCTCCTTAGGTGCTCGTGCAGAGTTGTTCACACAACATGGGCACGAGTCTCCCCAAGAGAGGCAGGGTAATCCTTTCTCCCTTGACAGACGATGCAGCTTGTAGCGTGCATCCGTCGGGGTTCGCTTTTCAAACTTATCACGAGCTTTGATAAGTTTGTCGTTCCAAGCGTCACGACCTACATCCTCGAGGTTATGGATGTAGGCGTTCCACGCCTGAAGCAGTGAGGGACCATCACGTTTGTGATTCCCACTGTACCATCGATGTCTAAAGAAAGCATCGATGAAGAATTCATGTTCAGCGCGATAGTTTTTCGCGCTGGGGTCAAGGTGATGTATCCTTGACGAATCGAACAATCGTGTTCGATAACGATCACTCGTCGTCGCCGACAAGTGATCCATGACTGATTTAGGAGGCATCCATGCCTTCTTCTCAGGAGCGAGACGCAACACATTGCGGTCCCGCTCTTCCTGCGACGTGCCGACAGAAGTACTGGCACCTCGCTGTGAAGTGGTGTCCATAGGAGAACCGACACCACTGTTAGCGCCCGAGTCTCGCGACCTCGAGCGCCTTCGCTTCGGCGATGGTTCATCTGATTCATCAGATGAACCAAAGATGCTGCGACGCAAAGCATCGTCCATGCCACGCTTGGCAGGCGGCTTAGATTCAATCGCCGTCGATACGGATCCGTCATCCGTATCAGGAGAGTACGAGACACCGAGCTCGTACTCTGTGAAGACACGAGTGTCTTCATGACCAGCGCCTGCATCACCAAGTGACACAGGCTGGGTCGCTTCAGCAACCGATGAGACATCAGTTGCTGTTGTTTCTGCTTCGGCGTCCGCACAGAGACGTGCAGACGCGCTCTCGGCGGCCTTGCTCGCGCATCGCATGGGCTTGTTAACCATGCGATGAGATGTTGGAAAGTGGACGCGGACCAACAAGTGCAAACCCTGTCCCAAATGATTTGGGACGAGTATCCATTTAGTCAATCAGTCACTAAAGTGACTGATGGTTAAGGGGGGGGTGATGTAACGGGGTGAATCGTTACATAACAATTTATAAGAAATTGTTAATAGAATATAACTATAAGAGTGATATTCTCAGAATATTGTCATAAGGACAAATATTCTGTAGCACTTACGAGTAGTTCCTAATTGGTTGATATAGGCCATTATATCAACCAAAGAAGACGCGCCACGACAGACGCACGCAATGAGTGGTGAGCAGATAATCAATTTACACATTTGTATTTAGACATAGTTAGATGAAGATAAATAGTGATTTATTGCAGACATTAACTATACTAAATACAGTTCTACTTTTTACTTTAACCAAGTACTCGCTTCTTCTTACCGTCTTCCTCTGCACGTACGAGTGTACGTGAAGTTACGAGGCACCGCCTTATTCTGTCATCAGAATAAGTAGCTTGTACTGTCACCAGTACAAGCTTCAGGGTGCCCCGTTACATCGAGAGCACTGTGACGAAGAAATTCTGACATTGTTGGTTCGCTAGCTTGTTTCGTTCTACTCCTATCTTTTTTACTCATTCTAATGTCCAGCGTTGATCTCAGTCGTCAGCCGCACCTTCAACTTGTCCGAACCCAGCGGACTGCCAACTTCGACTTCCAACAGCATCTTCTGAATTATCCCTAAGGACTCATCTCCAGTCTTCTGCTGCAACCCGAAAGTCCTGAGCTCTGCAAGCATCGATGCAGCAGTCCGAAGAGGGACAGCGGTGCGGCCACACTATCGTCCTCCTTGCTAAACATGTAGCACCCTTCGCTTCAGCCCCTATTTAATTAAGTTTTGGCGGTCCTAGCCATATCAAGTAAAGAAGATTCTACTGTAGGAGGTCGTGATTTTGCGAAGTGCGATAGATTTGTTTGATAAAACTGCATTTGATATTCCGTTCAGCGGACGTTCTTTTGTTCAATGGTGTAAGTTCTCAGCATTAATTACCATCCTTTATTTAAGCTAAATAGATTGCCTATAAATTATTCAGGTGTATTTGCAATAAGTGTTGGTGCACTTAGAGGTACCCATGATTCATGCCAACTTATCTGGTTTTACCACGCTCTATCATTTCGACCCAATCGTTTGGCATCGGTCTTTTCTTCCAATCACATTGCTTCATAGCTGCTCACACACCAAAATGACGCACTATTCGCCTCCCGACTGGAGCTCCACGGGCCGTAATGTCTTCGCTCTATCCCTGGAGGTGATCAAGAGCGGCGTGACAGTCGACAGGCTACCATTAGATCAACCAGACGGTCGTAGCTACGTCGTCGTTGGACGAATGGAGACCGTGTGCGACGTGGCGCTCGCCCATCCTTCCATCTCGAGAGTCCACGCTGTCCTGCAGTTTGACGAACAAGGCGCGCTCTTCCTCTACGACACGCGAAGTACCCACGGGTGCTACGTGAACAAGAGACGGGTCCCTGCTGAGGATTTCGTGCGGTTACATATTGGCGATGTGCTCGTGTTTGGAGAAAGCACGCGTCTGTACGTGGTCTGTGGACCGGCAGAGCTCTTACCGCCCGAGTACGAGTCGGCAAATTTGACCAAATTGAGAGAGAATCTGGACGAGAGAAGGAGTGTACAAGACGACAGGAAGCAGCTGGAAGAACGGGGAGTTTCGTGGGGGTTCGGAGAAGATGCTGAGGACGGGGAGGAAGGCGAGAGCGATGAAGAGATGGATGCTGCCAAGACCCGTGAGGTTTTGCCTGACTACCTTTGTAATGTGAGGAGACGAAGAAGGAGGGTGAGAGCTGAGGGAGGATGGTGTGACTAAATGCTGTGTGTTGTCGTGGTGTTTGTGTGCAAATAGCTGAAGGAAGATGATCAGCCATATACGTCGAGCGTAGGTCCGTCGCAGATTCACGAGAAAGATCAGCGACTATATCAGCAGCTGCAGACACGTATCCGTAAGATGGAAAACCTGAAGTTGGAGAGATCGAGGATTTTGGCGAAACAGAACCAGCTGAACGGCCTTTCGGAAGGCCAGCAAAACACGCTGGATCGAAACGAACAGCGGATTGATGCACTGATGAAAGAGATTGATAACCTAGAAGGACGAATACATGCGAAGAATGATCAGCGAACGCAATCTGGCAGCGCTGCTGGCACCGCTGCGGGGAAAAAGCTGAACGTGAACGAAGAGCTGTACGGATACAGCAGTGACGAAGACGACTTTTATGATCGGACGAAAACCAATCAACAGAAGATTACAGCTCGGAAGCACAAGGTTACATGCTCGGTAGTCACTCTGGGTGTGCCTACAGCGGCACCACAGACACGAACGACGAAGAGCACAGTTCTTACCGAAGCCTCGATTAAGGCAAATGTCAAGAAACTGGAAGCCGAACTTGCGAAAGTTCAGGACGAGCTGGCTGCTAAGATAGGTCATGATATCCGTGGAGATAGCGAAACGCAAATGGGAACGGACACTTTGGATTCATTTATGGCAGCGACGACGACACAGCTGCAGGAGAGCAAGGTAGACGCGCTGACAAGAAGGAAGGAGGAGATGGAGGTGGAATTGAGGCGCCAGCGACAGCTACTTGCAGTAGCAACGCCAGCGTTAGCTGCAATTCCAATCTCGGAGCCATACGCTGGTACGGGAACAGACGTTGTCAAGACCAGCCCATTGGCTCTTGTATCAGCGAAAAAACCATCAGCTCAAGATGTAGCAAATGTACAAGACGTAGCGCCAAAGGATACGTCAGCTGCAGCATTTGTACAAGATGTAGCGCTAAAGGATACGTCAGCTGCAGCAAATGTACAAGACGCAGCGCAAAAGGATACGTCAGCTGCAGCAAATGTACAAGACGCAGCGCCAAAGGATACACCAGCTGCAGCAGAGATGCAATCTCTTGCCACAGCCATTTCAAGCGCACAGACGCTGGCTTCACCGAGACCGGAGGAGACGGCAGACGAAACTGATGTCAAGCCAGTCGCGCCGAAACGGCGGCGAATTGTAGGTCCAGCACTGGTTTCATCTTTACAGCCAAATCCGCCAGTGAGCAATGGGCAGCCCGGCAATGACCCAAGTGTTTTAGAGGGAGGCGATCAGGTATGGGTCCCGCCAACAAACCAAACTGGTGACGGCCGCACCAAGCTGAATGACAAGTACGGCTATTAGGAGCTGGACAAATCAATACAACGCTTTGCAATCCGTCCACGTCTGTAGCTTCTCTCACATATTTCGAGTTCCGACACGTAACGAGTTTCTCAAGGCAGCAGCTCGTCCAAATCTTCGCTGTGCTGGGTCAAACTCAGCGGACACTTCGCGTTTTGCTCTGCATTGATTACCGCACACATCTCATGAATGCCCGGACCAGTGTCTGCACCAATTCCATTACACTCTTTCAATCTCGCTTCTGTCTGTTCACTGGCATTCCCACAAACACTTTCGTCGCTGCTGTCAGAGTCAAAACGCGACGCCGACCGTCGACACCGTTTCTCCCTCTCGTTTTCGTCCCCCCTCTTCTCCATTCGACGTCGTTTTCGCCCTCTCGTCTCCTGTCCACGTGCCTTCTACCTTCTCCTCTCACTTAATTTCTTAAAAAACAGCTTCTCGGCACAGACAGTGCATACCCGCACCTTCACCAAACACTTCTTGCGTTCGCTATGCTCCACGTACACAAACAGCAGCTCGTAGCTGTGCAACTGAGTGCGTGCGTCGCAACGCTTGTTCCCGCATATAAACTGTCCTTTGCCCGTTACGACCTCCGCCTCCGTGCGCCAGCGAAGTCCGATCTTTCCCTCGGTATATCGCGACAAATCAGCCAGTGCGTACTCCCTAAAGAGCTGCTGGTAGTAACGAACGCTCATTCGGATCTGCCAGTCCGTCTCGCCCTGTTCAGCGTCCGCGTCGTCGTCACGAAGGAACTGGAACTTGTTCTTCAGAACTTCTAGGTCACTCTGAGACATGTAAAGAGAATGTCGTGAGTCCACAGAGCTGGTGGTGCTGCTGCTGACGCTGCCGCTTCGACAAGCGGATGTCGAGTACAGTCTCATGAGCTCTTGATGGCTACAGACAAAGCAGAATACGTCGTCAGTAACACGAGTAGCGAGGTGAAAAGGGTATGGGTAGAAAGAAGAGGTTACGAGGAGTATGAAGAGGGTAGTAGAAAGCGCGTATTACCGGCGGAAGACACGTTGCGGGTCGTGAGAAGCGGTGGCGACCGGACGCGTCATAATGGCCTGTTGCACTGGATGAAGTAATTTATGAGGGAAGATAATCGACATTTTGTAATTTAATTGTATTAATTGGGCTATATCATTCGGAAGTGAGAAATCCTGTTTTAAGTTAATTAAGTCTGCGAAGAGGAGGCTCCGTGATTGTTGTACATCAACATCGATGACAACTGCAGTGATTACGGAGCTACCGGACAGCCATAAGGCACGAGGCAGGCAACATGCCTTGTGCATCGTCAGTGGAAGTACCACCGCATCAAATACTAAGTTGCTTTCTGGACACTTCCTGCTAGACGTTTATGAATCCAAACTGATTCAAACACCTCTGCGTTGACTCGTTCCTGCCGTGACGTCACGCTCCTCACTTTCGATCTTCCCATTCCAGCAGGCAACTTCACTTTCATCAATGAACCCAGATCACCAGATGATCACAGGATAAAAAGGCAAAAAACACACTCTAAACGATGCAACTCAGTTGAGAAGCAGCAACCAATTCCTCTTCAGATATAATATCTTTCCAGACTACATAGTATCACCAGCCAAGACCGGTACAAAAATGCCACCATCAACTAATAACCTCTACGATCGAATCCCGCCACAAACCTCCTCCTTGATTGCGTGTGACAGTGTCCGCACGCACCAACTCCTTGACTTTCATCCATTGGGCGAGTCACTTTTCAATTTGCCTCAAAGAGCTCAAGAGGTCAAGCAACCTCCAAGGCCGTTGACGGGGAATTTCCGTCCATCGCTCTCTCATCGAGCACTATGGAGCGGCTCACATCGTGCCTTGCCACCATCCTCCAATCCGACTACGACTACGCCCTATGCGTGATGAACTCGGGCTTCTTTGAGCTGTCCTCGACGCCTTTTCAGCTGCGCAATTCCACTTCGAGCTTGATCTCCTCCCCTTTTATCACACCAAGTTCAAGTAACTCCTTACCCGTAACCGCGCTAGGCTCTTGCTCGCTCACTTGCACAACCCCTTCACCATTACGGACGTCCAGCTCGTGCTGCGCGGCAGCCACCGCTGTCCTCAACTGTCCCCAGTCCACGACCCCTTCATCCTCGTCCAACATTTCCGACTGTCGATCGGTCATCCACAATGCGATCGTCGACAGTCAACAGTGTTCCCTCGCCTCTGCCAACATCGTCTTGCTGGTCAGTGTAGCCATTCTTGTCACTCTCCTTCTCGCTGCTACAATTGCCGCCCGACTCAATGCCAGGAACCAAGTGGCTACAAAAGCTGCTGAAGGACTTGATGAAGACGAAAGTCTCGAGCAGCGACTTGCAGCAGTGAAGCGGCCATCAAAGTGGCGCGCGCTACTCACGTCGTGGCGACAAGTGACGAACTTACTCTGGAAGAACCTCGTGATCCGACGACGGAAGCCCGTGTCGTTCTTGCTGGAGCTCTTCCTTCCCGTGCTCTTGACACTCGCGTTGGTTTTTATTGCCAATGTCGACACGATCTTTGGCACGGGAAACCCCTCAAATGGTTCATCGACAGAAGCAGCAGCAGCAACAACAACGACGTCCCAGACCATTTTGTGTACGGCACTTGATCAGTGGACGGATTACGGGGCACTGAGCACCAACATGTCGACGTTCTACACGAGTGGACAGAGTGTCATTGGCCTCTTTTTACTCGTGAGCTACATGAAGTTTGTCTCGACAACTACGACGACCATGGTGAGTGAAAAGGAGACACGGATCCGAGAAGTCATGAAGATCATGGGGCTCTCAAACTTTACGCTCTTGTGCTCGTGGTGCCTCACGACCGCGATTTTGACCACGCCACTGTCCTTCGTCATTGCTGCAGAGCTCAAATTTGGCCAAGTGTTTCCCATGACAACGTACGCGACGCTGGTGTTCTTGTTCTGGACGCTGAGCTTGTCGATCGTGAGCTTCAGCTACTTTATTACACCCTTCTTCAACAAGGCAAGAGCAGCTTCAATCGCCTCGGTGTTGCTCTGGCTCCTGCTGTTTTTCCCGTTCTTTTTCGTCATGTCCAAGTCAAACGCGACCAGGTATCTCGGCGCCCTGGCACCTCCTACTGCCTTTGCCCTCGGTATTGATAGCATCGTGCGCCACGCTCAGCTTGGACGAGGAGTCGCGTATGCGATTGAGATTGCAGAGTTCCCAGTTACCGTGCCAACGGCATTTGCAATGAGCTGGTTCTTGATATTGGACTCGTTTATCCTGGTCGCTCTTGGTTGGTACTTCGACAATGTACTTCCTCAAGAGTTTGGTATCCGCAAGCCGTGGAATTTCCTCTTCGTGAAGGACTTTTGGCGTCCTTTGAGTTCAACAGCGGTCGACAGAGACGTTGTGGTGCTGGAATCTCCTTCCATGGACTCACCGCCTCGGACGTACAAGTCGTTCGCATCACCACAAGGAACAAGGTTGTCGCATCACACTTCGACGAATAGGTCGATCGTGATGATGAAGGATCGGCCTGAATTTGTGGCTTGTATGGAGGCCGTTGACGCCACGCTGGCAGCACAGGAACGGAAAGGAACGTGTCTCCAGATTCGAGGCCTTCGTAAAGAATTTGCGCTGGACAATGGCGAGGTAAATGTAGCAGTTGGAGGACTTGACCTCACTCTGTACACCGGGCAGATCACGGCGCTGCTTGGCCACAACGGCGCTGGAAAGACAACCACCATTTCGATGTTGACCGGTCTTATTCCACCCACGTCGGGCAACGCAACGCTTTACGGTCTCTCCCTTCGCGAAGACTTGAACGAGCTTCGCCAGATTATGGGTGTTTGTCCTCAACACGATGTACTATTCGACGAACTGACCGTGGACGAGCATTTATTGCTGTTTGGAACGATGAAGCACATTCCGCGTGGCAGTCTGAAGATGGAAGCGGAGCGGATGATTCGGGAGGTGGGTTTAACGGAAAAGCGGAAAACCGCTGCTAGGGACCTATCGGGTGGACAAAAGCGCAAATTGAGTCTTGCATTGGCCTTCATGGGGGACAGCAAGCTCATCTTTCTGGATGAGCCTACGTCTGGTATGGATCCGTACTCCCGTCGGTCTACTTGGGACTTGCTGCAGCGAAACCGGGACGACCGAGTTATTCTTTTATCCACGCATTTCATGGACGAGGCTGACATCCTTGGTGATCGCATCACAATTATGGCTGACGGTCAGCTTTGTTGCGCCGGGAGTTCACTTTTTCTGAAGAATCGCTATGGTGCGGGATATCATCTGACCATGATCCAAGCGCCCGGATGTGATGTGGAAGCAGTGGGTACGTTTTTGCGTGGCTTCGTGGCTGAAGCAAAATGCTTCAGCAACTTTGGTTCCGAAGTTGTGTTTCAACTTCCGTCAAAATCGGTAGGAGCGTTTTCAAAGATGCTGCAAGCTCTCGACGATGAAATGCCCCGCTTGCGTATTGTCCAGTACGGTGTGTCCGTAACAACTCTTGAGGAAGTGTTCTTGCGTATCTCACGCGATCGAGAAGAAGAAGCCGCCATTGACGCTGTTTCGTGTAGCGTGGAAACAGTCAACCAAATTCGCAAGACATCAGCAAGTTCAGCGTATTCTCGCAGCACGGTGACGAGCCCGATGTCCATCGAATGTACTAATGGGGCGACGCTGTGGACCCAATATACGGCGCTGCTGACAAAGCGTTTGTGTATTGCAAAGAGGGACAAGAAAAACCTGTTGAATACCGTCTGTATCCCGCTGATTTTCCTGATCATCTTGGTGTCGCTTCCCGATATCGACGTTGCCAGCTTCATGCCTACCGATGACTACGCGACAGAACTTGCGTCACAAGGGCAGTGCACAAGCGAAAGGTTTTCGTTGGTGTCTACTTCAAGCTTTTGTGACAGCTTCTCATTTAACTACTGTAAGCTGGACGTGATTGACTGCAGTGCCTCGACATGCTGTGACCCGAGGAACGTCCAGTCTCCGTACTACGCGTGCAACAGGTGTGAGGGCACCTCGTCGACCAACGCAGTAACGCCGTGCTACAACAAGCACTGCCTCGACGATGATGGTGCAAGGCTTCAGGTCACGCTGAATGCCATTTTGACATCCATTGTGGTGATGCTGGCTTTAGCTTTTGTTCCCGCCACGATTGTAGCCTTCGTCGTACGCGAGAAAAGCCCAACTCAGAACGCGAAGAGTTTGCAGCTGATTTCGGGTGCCAGCGTGTCAGCGTATTGGTTGTCCACGTGGACTCACGATTTCCTTATCATACTGGTGACCGTTGTTGCCTCCGTGATAATGATTTCCCCTGTCCGACCGAACGTTGACGGGCTCTTTGGAGGTGTGGGGAGTCGTTTGTTTGATTGGTTCGCACGCTCTGGTCGTGATCCCGATGGCATACTTGTTTTCGTTCAAGTTCGAAAAACATGCAGTGGCACAGACATCGCTGCTAGTATTTGCCCTCTGCACGGGTGGATTGCTGAGCATTTTCTCGTTCTTGTGTCGACTCATCGACTTTGACTTGACCGCGAGCAGCTCCTCCAACTTGACTCTTTCATCGCTGGACAGGAACTACCTGCGATGGATTTTTCTGCTTTTCCCAGGTTACAGCCTGAACAGCGGTATTTACGAAATCGCTACACGAAAGCTGACCCGACATTCGCTATACAGTAGCGATACCGAGAGAGCAGCCCCGCCTTCGTTTTTTGGTCTTTGGAAAGGTCTTGGGACGGACTACACATGTGAGTCATGCTGGGATGCACCGGATGGTGCACCTTGTTGCGAGCGCAACGTTTTCGATGTGGACGTGGCTGGGGCTCCTATTGCCTATGCTGTGGTCGAGTTCGTGATTTTCATGCTATTAGTGTTTGTAATTGACAACCGTAGCTTGTCGTGGCGCCCTGAACAGCAGCAGCAGCCTCGCAACGAGGATGACGATGTGGCCACTGAACGACAAAGGGTGGAGCAGTCGCTTCCCACCCAGAACGACAGTGTGTTTATCCGTAACTTGCGTCATGAGTATGGACGTAAAGGCAAACTCGCATTGGACAATCTGTGCCTCTCCGTTGCAAGAGGGGAGTGCTTTGGATATCTTGGTATCAATGGAGCCGGTAAATCGACGACGATGAAAGTGCTGACTGGTGAGATGGCCCCGACAAACGGATACGTTACACTTGGGGGCTACGATTTGGCTCGCGATCGCAATAAAGCGCGTCATGTGATCGGGTATTGCCCCCAGTTCGATCCATTGCACGACTTGCTGACTGTGGAAGAGCAGCTTGAGCTGTATGCTCGGCTCAAAGGCATCCCAAGTGATTGCGTCGACAACAGCGTTGACCAGACCATTGAAAATATGGGACTCACTGAGTACCGGGCCAAGCTGACACAAGGACTTAGTGGAGGCAACAAGCGTAAGTTGTCAACTGCCATCGCCATGATCGGCGATCCAAGTGTCATCCTTCTCGACGAACCTTCGACGGGAGTAGACCCAAGTTCTCGACGGAAAATGTGGGATGTCATTGCTAATGTCTGCGCGACCAAGAAATCCTGCGTCATTCTTACAACCCATAACATGGAGGAATGCGAAGCACTTTGTACGCGTGTTGGAATCTTGGTTAGTGGACAGCTGAAATGCTTAGGAAGCGTCGAGCATCTCAAGCAGAAATTCGGCCGAGGATACATCGTGGAGGTGAAGTTGCAACAACCACCTGCATTTGTTTTGGAGTCATTACAGCGAGATGTGTACCAAATCCTTGGAGACAATAGCCCTGGTATCTCACGACACCATGTTGCGAGTCTATGTTCGTCTCTTGAAGTTCCAAAGCGGGCGCAAGAGATCCTGGATGGCGAGAACAATGGCAGGGTGCTCACCAGCTACTTCGGGACGTCAGGCGTGATCCCCGTCGACATCTTTTGCGCGTGGTGGGCGACTGAAAACATGTACTCGACGCTGCAAGAATTTTTTCACGAAAGGTTCCCAGGTTGCCAGCTTATCGAACACCAAGGCGGCCACTTTCGTTTCCAAGTACCAAAGCAGTCTTTGCGGCCGTACGCAATCTTCGGCCTCCTTGAAGAAAACAAGGAGATGCTGCACGTGCGTGAGTACGGCGTGAGCGCAACGTCGCTGGAATACATTTTCAACGAAATGGCTGTCCAACAACAAGAGGATCAGCTACAACAAGGTAGCGCTAGATGACCGAGATCACGAAGACCCATAAACAGCTTACCATACCGCTTCCCTAAATATGCACAACACTGACACACAAGCACATGCTCTTACGTTACACGACAACGCGTAACAGAGCGCGTACCTTCACAAGTACCGCGTCAACTAACAGCAGTGCCAACCTATGGCTCCAAATCCTTGAGCCATCCTTTCTCCTTTGCATCCTCAAACATCCCCACAATGGCCTCGCGTTCGCCTTGTACTAGTTCCGGGTGCCAAAAGTCGAACAGTAGCACCACGCGGTCTCCTTCTTTTCCACGATGCCACACCTCGTGATCAAACGCGTCTGTTTCGACAAGAGCAGACAACAACCACAGCACAGCTTACGTCATCTAAAGATCAACAAACAACAACTTACAAGAACATCCGGTCCAAAAACGTAGCACGAACCGTCGAACACAAGCGCTTTGCCTTCTTCCCACTGCCGCGTCTCATCGCCCACTCGAATACCACAACCATCCGGAACAAGTATCGGGAAGTGGCAACGCAATCGGATGTTGCACGGCGCCGAGTGCGCCTTGATACTCGACTAAGTACACAGTCCACGACACACACACACACCAATTCTTGTATAAGTAGCAGCGCGAAATAACGAAGTTGTTTACCTCGTACAAAACACCACTTACCCCAGGCTTTAAAATAGAGAAAAACGAATAGGCAAACGGGACGTTCACCATAAAGCCAGGAATGCTCTCTAACACTCCCACTGTCTTGGGGCAATGCACCGCAAAGTCCGCTTGGCGCCGACCTTGCGTCACGTACGAGAGCCAATCCCACTGGCCCGAATGCAGCTGATGGTCTTGGCTGGACTCTTTATAGTCACTCGTCTCGGCTGAGCTGTTTCGTTGCTCTCGAAGTGCCAAGAACTCGTTTGTAATGGCGTCACGATTAGCTTCAAGACGCTGGATCCAGTCGAAAGTTTGCGTATCGTGCCATGGAGCAGAGGCAAGTCCAGGGAAGCAGAAGAGCGTGGGGGACGGACGTGGTTTAGCTGGTTACGGCCGAAAATAGAGAGGGTAATAGGGTCGTCAAGAATACGATCGACAGAGCTGCCGTTATTTGTAGTTAGAAACGGACAGACCTGTTGTGAGACACAATGCCGAGCGGATTAGGGCTGCGCGGTGCGTCATGCTTGCAATAGTGAGGAGAGGATGGAACATTGCAGCCAAACGTGATGACGGGGCGAGGCGTTGGATGTTGCACGAAGAACAGACGACACCGAGCGGACAGAAAACGGACTACCTTCAAGAACCTTAACGACACAAATGGGTGGACCGAAGCACAGCGAACTTTAGTCCGGGACCGTCTTTTCTTCCGACGATAGAAACAGGTTTGCCATCTCGGGCAGAGACGGAGGAATGAGTGTGAACGGCCCGATTATGGCCCTAAAAGCGAGCTTGTCCCGTACGCATGTCCAGCGTCCCATGGCCCGCCCGCCCGCCCGACCACCGACCCGCTGCATGTAGTAACAACAATCGGATCAATGTGTGTGCAGTAGAACGGGAATCGTCTTATTACGTTGTTGCGCTGTGACGTTGCGACTTTGTGTTGACGGACTGGAAATCACGTGAAAAGCTCCTGCTGAGCGTATTGGAACTCCTTGTTACGGGCTTGGACCAGACAAACACATCCACACTTTCACTCCATCCTTCCTCTCTCTCTCTCTCATCTTTCTCACGCTCTCCTCTCTCTCTCTAGTCAAAGCTCAGCTGCCCCATCATCCGCTCTCGTCAGCTTTTGTCTCTGTCTCTGATACTTGTCAACTGAGCTCCTTCGACGGCAGTGGCCGTTAACGTTCTCGAAAAGTTGGGATGCACGCAACTAGAAGCACGGAACTGAGCCGATGTTTTGCGGTGAAACTGACTGCGTGACATTTGTAGTAGCTGTAGTACCAGTCTTCGGGCCGCTGTAGTGATAAAGCTTGCACTCGCCACCACAGAAGGAGGGCTAGATGATTGAATTGATTGAAGGCAAAGGAAAATGCAGCATCTGTCGCATACCAAGTGGTGTGTAACCGTAGAACCCAAGATGCAGTTGTTGTTGTTGCTGCATAAACTAAGTCTGTACGAACTGCTGCACTTCGGACGCCCATCCGTCGGACAAGTAAGTGGCCGGACCTGAACCCAGCTTCAACCAATAATAGACGGGTTACGTACGACCTTTCGTGTGTCCAGCTCATATCGGAAGGATAGCCGTGCGAGATACTACCCGCCTCTCTCGTCATTTCTTATCCTGAAGGTGAAGAGACAGACTCGTCCCGTAAGCCACGAGCGAGATCACTATGATTCAAGCGACAGTCAAAGACAAACATGGGAGAGATCCAGTCAATGCCAACGTAGACCTCGTGAGCGAGATTTTCATCGTATGCAGCGACAAAGACGAAGACTTGACGATCTCAATTGACTGGAGGGAAGACTTTGTCGACATGAGTCGAAACAAAAAAGACGATATCGAGGTCCCTGCTCTACGGGCGAAAAGTTCAGCGATTCGAAGTTCAACTGCAACAACACTGCCTTCACTCGCAGCCCGAGTGCCAGTTTTGTCGAGAGCGACGAGTCAAGGGGCTTATTTTAATGGATATCGGCAGAGTCTGGACCCCGACCATACCGTGGGAAGGACGCGTGTACCGTGGGACTCGAAACGTGACGTCGAGATCCGAGGGCCAGAGATGAGACCGACTCGGATTGTTGCGTTTGATGTCGGTGGGAAACTCTTTCGCTGCAAAGAGAGTTTGATTGCCAAGTATCCACGAAAGCGACTCAATCAGATCATCACTTGTACGTGTGGCAAGATCGGGTGTCTCAATGACGCCTTCTTTATCGACCGCAATCCCCAGCACTTTGAGATGATTCTGGATTGGTATCGGACTGGAAAACTTGTGCGGCAACGCAACGTGAACGAAGAAGCGTTCAAGGACGATGCCATTTACTTTGACCTGTTTGAAGAGATGTTCCCAGCAACTCCAACTGGAGATCCCTCTCAGTCGTGGTCGACGACCAAGACCTCCTCTGGATTACCTGCTCGCAGACGATCAGTGAATGACGTGGATCTTGGGCACAGTACTACGCAGCGTGTCAGTATGTTTGCGAACATGGCGTCTGTTGCACCGTCCCCAAGGAAGACAACAACAATAGATGCAAAGACGACGAAAGATGAGCAACCAGAAGACGTTGGACTCCCGAAGACGATCGGTCATGGTCCACTGCGCTTCTTCCGACGCGAGAGACGCGTGTTGACACCTAGTAGCATCCCTTTGGTGTTCATGGTCCGAAAGTTTGAGCAGTTGCTAGTCGAGAGTGTAACAGGACGAGGGAAGCTCATGGTTCGCGTGTGTGGCGAAACGGGAATGCAGGCTGTGATTGTGCCTGAAGCTGTGCTATACGACAGTCACACGTGCTCGTACTCAAAAGAAGCTCGCGCACAGCTACGGCACAATGCATTGTTGCCAGGAGATCACGTCTACACTTTCTGGATCGAGAAGAATGCAAGTGAGGCCAGTGTTCAAACATCCGCCCCACCAGCGCTGGATATTGCGTTCAAGCTTCTGTTCACGTTTGACCCCATCGATCGACTCACCTCTGTGATGGAAGTCGAGCTTACGCGTTCAACGTCCGAAGGTGACAATGCGATTTGCCCACTAACTTCGGAACGAGCTCCGCAGCAGAACAAAGAGACCGACTTGGTCGGTCCACGTCTGTTCATGCCACCTTTGCCAATGCAGCGCGATCTAGAGTCCCATCGCCGTCAACTACTCTAAGTGAACCCCAGCAACAACGAGGTATCACTATTGTCGAAAGCAAGGACACGTGGAGTATAACAGCGTAGCAAGTGGCATGATCTGTCGCCTTCAACTCGACAAGCTGCTGCGATCATGGATGATGCATAACCACCACCACTTCTGCGATCTGTAGCGTGTCATACGGTCGTTTGTTGACCAGACAAGACGCTCGCGACTGAGAGAGAGTCCTACGCTGCTGGAGGGGCCTGGATCATTGCCACCATCCTGAAGATATCGACAGAAGAAAGAGATGAAGCTTGAGGAGGTGGAGACACTGTTCACATTACGCAGCCGCGTCTATTTCGATGAATAACTTGTACAGAAGGTATATGTCTAATGCTACGAACCTGCCTTGTCACGTCCGATCACACTCCTTGAGGTAAGAGCGACGTCAAGAGGCGCTCCAATTGACCAAGACAGTCAGCCGACAGACACATGTCACCCCCATCAGCGTCACTGCACACGTCTTGCAGCAACTCGAGCATGGTCAAGTATTCCTGGAACTCTTGACTTGTCCACGACGGCTCGCTTCCATCTGCAGCACTTGTCACGGCCTCATCGCGTGCAAATGCCGACACGCACGTCGGACTCGGTGTGGCACTTCGGACGTTCAAGCTCGTGGGCTTGCACAGAATGGGCAAGCAGACGTTCGCAACGTCTCCGTCACTGAACTGAGGCAGAGCAAAAGAGTCGTTGTCAACCGACTTGACGTTGCTGCCGCCGTCCGAAGAAGCATCACGAATCTTCCCTTGGCCACTGTCGTCGTGACCAAACATCTCATAGTCCTGCTGCTGTCGGGTCCTTCCGTTGTCTTCCTCGTTCACTACGAGACTGCCATCTCGCGGCACCGAAAGAGGCGACAACGACTTGCAGGTGACTGACTTTGCAGCTGCCGTGAAAACGTGCTCGCAAGCGTCTGGAGCTGACACCTCGAGCTCGTCCATTGCTACTCGAGCCTCCAAGTTTGCCACGTCCGTCTTGGCAGATTGCAAAGTGCTAGTCTAGAGACAGCGCGGGCTCGCTGCATCACACGACCGGACGAGTCGCACGTGGCGCTTCCGCTCGAGTTCCGACCACCTCTGAGCGGGCATCCCACATGAGTCGAATATTAAACGGAAGAAAGGCTTCGCAGTCGTTCGTTCCCTTACACTTGCGTACTACTGGATACCGTGACTCCCCAAAGCGTGGGGCACTCGCTCCCTCCCCCGAGAGAGATCGCAGATTCACGTCGCACATTCTTGAAAGGTTCATCCGGATATGGCGAAAGCGCAGCTCCGAAACAGCCGTGTTCCACGAAGAGTGGACTCGCGCCTCTCCTTCCGACGAAGAACATGGAACAACTGCAAGAGCCGAACGTATCGGAAGGAGCTTTCGTCCTGTTGGACTGCACTGGTTCCCACTCCTAGCAGAGGTCTTTTGTTCCAGATTGTGACGTGGCGACTGGCAGGAGGTTAGTGCTCCAGTGTTGCCCGTCGCCGGCACAAACAGTTCGACTCGAACACTCACGGAACGTTCGCGGACCGTTGCAGGATTGAGATGCCATCGATCAGATCTTTCCAAAACGAACGGATCAGCGAAACGAGCGAATTAGTTTTCTGCGTTTAAATACAGTCGGTCGACTTGACGGCCGCCGTATCTACTGTCCCCGACAATTAGTGCACTCGAAGTTGATGCTTGCGACCCGTGCGAGGTCGGAGCTACAGCCAGGCGGTCTTACTACTGTGCTCGGTGTAGCGGCCGTCGTTCCGCTGCAGCGCGCGCTCCACTAACGTGCAAGCAGTTTTGTCGTCCACTGGGTCATGGATCTCTTGCCCTTCCCACTCTGTCCAGCTCGAGCAGCTCTTTTTTTTGGCTTTTTGACGAGCGTCTTGCCACGAGTGCCTCGTACGTCTTATGCACGGCCCCGCTTCGGAGCAGCACCGAGAACTTGGCAGCTGCAAGACGAGAACGCGCCAGCACCAGCACGCCCGACGTCTCCTTGTCCAGTCGATGCACCAGTCGCAGCGTCTCTTGCTGGTCGTCATCGTCGATGTGTTTCGCTTGCTGGCAGAAGCATCCATCTACAACGGCAGCAAAAGCAGCAAGAGACACACACAAACACACAGACATGTCACGTCCTTGCCTTGCTTCCCTCTCTCTCCACGACTATCTCCTCCACAGCAAGCGAGCAACTCCCTTCAAGCAGCTGCTCCTGCTCTCTTCGTTCTACCTGCAGTGTCAGTCCCTGAGGCTTGTCAAGCACCACAAACTGCGCGTCTTGACACACGACGCACTGCCTCAAGCGCTTCGCTCGCTTCACGTCTCCACTCGCGCCCATCGTCTCGTTCCGTCGCGTCGCTTCCAGTCGAAACTCCGTCAGTGCGTCAGTCGTCATCGATTGGAGGAGCTTTGACTGGAACAGAAGCGCGTCAATGGCCACGACGGAACCTTCGCAATGCAAGTTACAGCTCCTGGTCTGGGCAAACGCACGACGTATTGCATTCAGCGGAGCTCCTGTTGCTACATATGACAGTCGGTGCTTTTGGTAGTCGTGCAAAGAATAGAGATAGCGATAGAGATAGGGAGGCAGATAGAGATATAGATACCGATAGAATGGCAGATAGAGATAGAATGGCAGATGGAGATAGAATGGCTGATAGAGATAGAGGAGACCAGGGAGATAGCGAGATGGCTGTATGTCAAGTCACCGTTAACGACGTTTATTCTGTTACAACACATTCTTGTCATGGACTCACATGTACATTATAGCGTCTCCAACAGTGAGTATACCTTAACATTTTCGTGCACCAAGCAGAGACCAGTATAACTTCCTCTCAAACTTATGCGCAAAAAACTACTCAGCAGTCAGCATAACTATAGATTATAAGTATTTTTTGGCCGAGCGTAACTGGTAAAGTTGTGGTCGCCTTGGTTTGTTTGTTGGTGCCCGGTTAGGCTCAAGGGTATAATGTTGTTAGTTTCATTTAGAACCACGTCGTCGACTTCAAAACATCGTTCTCCTCTATCAATTAGAGCCAAGGACATGCAACAAATTTTCGTCACTGACCGATTTGTTTCCAAATCCTGAGCCAATGACATGCAGCCAGATAGTTATCTTGGGTGTCACTGAATTACAAGATGTACACGAGGGTGTGGACGCTAGACTACAGAATCCGCCTTCCATGTACGGGGCAATCTATCTGCCACACGCTCTCCAAATTAGGGCTCTGAGTGACGGCTATACTAATGGCGTGCCAAGCACATCGGGTAGGGACATTGTCTGTGTGTCACCGCAGCTCACATTACGTGACGGTCATGAGGTTTTGAACCGATTTACATGGACATCTACACGCCGAGGGGTTGTCAGCGGCATCCTTCGCAACGCCAAAGGTCGAAACCGTGCCTCCGTCATCCTCCAGCAGGCGACTAATGGCATTCATTGAATAATCGCACGAATGGACGGGTTACCAGCTGAAGCCGTCCAGGAGTTAGACGCCATTAAACAGCGAAGCCGCAACAGAGCACTCGTGCTGGCAGCGCATCCGCTACTCCATGGGTTTCCGTGGTGCCTTCCCTTAACAATCAACAACATTCACGCATATGACGTGTTAAAGCGCCAGCCGTTTCGAAGGGTGAAGCGCCATTTGGCACCGGCTCTCTCAGCTTCGATCGCCAGACTTCAACACAGAGCTACCTCACACGAAGGCGGGTACGTCCCGCTTTCGCAGTCGCCACGCCCTCACTGAGTACCAAGTTTGGGTCTGCTACAGGATTGCAACCCATTAGTTAAATCTATATAATCGAGGGCGAGTGTTCGACGCCACGCGCAAGCGACATCTTCCCTGCCGCGGGCAACATGAGGACCTGATGCATATCATCTGGGACTGCATGGGAGCGAACCTGAGCTGGACATACATCGTAGCCCAGTGGTCACGATCGCTAGCAAACAAAAACCAACTCCAATCGTACAAGCAAGCGGCCTTATCTAGAATAACCTTCGAACCCCCACGGCGAGCACGGGCGGACATAGAGCGCAGGTATCCGACAACGCTGACACCGTCATGCAAACATGGAACAGGATCTGGTGGATTAATTGCTCGGTCTGCGTCACAGCGCTCTGGATTCAGAGAAATCGGAGTGTCCACAACCAGGACATGATGACGCCGGAACAAGTTGGTGCTGAAATGCGACACATCCTGATTAACAAATGCGCGCGGTTGCGCTGAAGGAACTACGGCATGGCGGGGTTCAAACAGATAGCTCTTTCTTTCAACCAGTGACCGAGTTGTTTTTAAATAGGGTCACACATCGGACGATGGTGTTAGACAATCTCTCTCGGCGACACGATTCACTTCCAGGCGTCCTCGAAAGGTTTAGGGTCTTTCAGACATCTTGTAAGCCTTGAGAGTAAAATAGACGGTCTGTTTATCTCTGAACAACAAGATGTAGACGCAATCGCGATAAACAACTTTTTCTCGAGTTATCCCCGAGTTATTTCGCTGCTATGGCGCACTTATATGAGCACCACGAAGGAATTATTAAAATGCCCGCATTCGGGTGGTTGCTTAGTATGTCTCTTTTCTGGATGTGTGCATTTCTCTCTCTTCGTAGGTCAGACAGTGGCTATAACGGCGTTACACGGTGGTTGTTGAACCGGTTATGTTGTGTGTCCACACCAAGTATAGATGGGTGGATCTGAGTGCTACAGTTTAGGTACCACTTACTTACGGTAGTACCGCACCTTATCCGCTATGGATAAAACTTCTGTCATAGGAATGCAATGTGGAATTCATCCAGACAAGGTTTTAGGGTTTTATTACCGTAGCTAAAGAATAAATAATGTTCAGTTCCGCTTTTGAATCGTTGGACACAATTGCTAGTCTAGGCGTAGTGTGTTGTAAGAGCATTAGCCTATACAAGGTGTTTACTCTTGCTTAACTAGTAGTCTCTAGTTAGTGTGTGACTCTGTGAATCGTAATCCCTTTGGAACCGAAATATTAAGCTAGTGCGCTTGAACGACTGTACGTCGTTGTTAGTTTACTATATCTGAGACACTCTTTAAGTCTAAGACTTCATCTGTTAAGGAGCGCTAAGTAGCTCCGCTACACTTGGTAGCACTTGTAGTCAATCTACACTTGAGTCTTCACAGACTGGCTCCTCTGCGAGGATGGAAACGGTCATGAACCCTTCTGAGGCCCTGCATATTACGTTTGAGAAGCTCACGACGTTCTTTGGGCACGAGAAAGTGGCTCTCATAGTGACACAAGGCCCGGACGCACTTCGTGCAAGTCTCGAGGCCTCGAACTTTAATTCCACGTTGATCGGACAGGTCCATTACCTTTTGGCATCTGCCATTCCCACTCGGTATGTTGCCATCCAGACACTGGATCAAGAACTCATCCTCTAGTCTTAAGTGTCAAGACTTTCGAGGGGAAAGAGGAAGAAAATCAGCTTTAGTGGGTTCGAGAGATGACGGTTGTCATCAATTTGGCCTTGCTGCGGCCAGAGCAGCAGAAGGTGGGCCTGGCCCTATCGAAGCTAGTGAGGCAATCCAGGAAGTGGGCTTTCACTTCTGGCACCTCGATAGACGAGGCTTTCCCACCTGGTACATGCTAAAGTAGCAACTATCTTGGGTGTTTGCCACGTCTAATCAGGCGTGTCGCTTGCGATCACGCTTCCTATCAACCTGAAAGGGTAAAAAAGACTTAGTCGATTATGTCCAGGAGTTGCAAACTCTCATTGCTGCTATGCAGTTTGACCCTTCATCGAGACGGTTATGGTAACCACTTTATGGAGGCTTTTCGCACTAGCGTTGCTAGAACAGAAGTGTTTTGTGTCCAACCCTTGACAGTTGAGGGTGCAGCAGACATAGCTTAAAAAGTAGAGATCAACCTTAAAGCTGCCCGTAATGGGACTCACGGTTTACAACCGAACTCTTCTAGAAATGCTCATCTCATGGATCTTAGTCTCGCTGAGAGAAAAGAAGAAGCTAAGTTCTATGCTGTAGAACAGCGTTCAAACATCCGTAGATGTTATACGTACGGGAGCATCAAACATCATCTCCCCAATTGTTCTCTGAGAAGTACCAGACACGCTCATTCGAGCCGACTTCCCGTCGCTATCACGAGTTGTTAAGGCGCGGGAAAACGCCTAGTCATATTAGGCGCCCTGATGGGGAAAAATTAGGCTATGTTGTACCTCTGGGAGATGATGGAAAACAGGGCTTAGCCCCAAGTCGCTTAATGCACAATGTCACGAAGCATGGATGCAAGTCAGGCCTGTAAGTTGCAAAAGCAACGGTGAAGTGATTTATATGACCATGGTCGACATTGTTCGACTCCGGGGCATCTAGAATTTACGCCTGAAGTTTTTCCTTGGAAGGGAGTCAGCAGTATGTTGAGGCGCTAAAAGTGCGAAAGAATGGAACTATAAATGTTCGCTTGGCAACAGGTGCATTAGTCACTATGCATAAAGTTCGTGAGAACTTAGGCGTTAAGTTTTTAGACTTTGACAGTATCGAACGCTGTCTAGTTCTTGACTTGGATGGAAGGAATAATCTCATCCTCGACATAACTTGGCTAGAACTCCATGAGCCATGGATTGATTGGAGGTAAGAGACCTTAGGCGCAACGCACACTATTTCTAGTGAAGCATTGGTGAGTCATTAGCCCACCTCTCTAGAAAACAGAAATGCTATTAGCGCGAGCCACGGACTGAGACAGTTGGTGTGCTGTACATCGGTATGGCTGAACTCTTTAAGTTGGACGATGTCAAAAACGATAGTTACGAATTAAGCTCAATTAATGTTAGTGAGACGGCACGTACTCCATCGATTGATAATAGATGTGATAACAAATCACTAGATTCGGAAAGCGTTGTTGGCCTAGAGTCAAGCCATCATGGGTTGAACTCATCTGATGAGCGTGGCGTGGTACGTAAGTACGTACTGAGTGATGTTGTCAATTTGCGACACATTGAATTTCAGTCAAGACACTGTTGGTGAAAATCAAGTCATCTAGGAAGAGACCCAATTATTGAGCATGGAATGGAACGTAAGTACCTACTGATTGATGTTGGTAATTATTGCGACATTCTGAATTTCTGTCAAGACATTGTTGGTGATAAACCAAGTCATCATGGGAGAGGCCATTTATTAAGCGTAAGCACCCAATGGGTGATGATATCATTGGTAGTGACTCACTACCAGATGTCGATATTGACATCGGGTCTAGTAAAGATCTAATTGAGGTTGACGTAGTTCGTCATCTTAAAGACAGTGTAGTCCCAGATGTCGGAAATGACATCGGCCCTAATATTGGGAAAATTAAGGTTGACGCATTTCGCCACCTTGGGGGTGGTATAGTCCCGGATGTCAAAAATGACATCGGCTCTGGGTAATGAGGTTGACGGTCATGCCAATCTTGAAGACATTGATGTCCCGGTTGTCGGTAATGACATAGACTCTCGTACTGAGCAAGTTAAGGATGATGATTTTCAACCTTGGGATCGAAAAATTTCTAGTCTCTTTGAAATTTTCAGTCTTGTCACACATACGAAAAAGACGCCAGATTGCTGCTATGCAACACAAGGTGTCTGTTACGCATCGAGTGATACTAGCGAGCAGCTATATGCACTTGTTACTGGAATGACCGTAGCTGTAGATGGGTAAGTGAGTCTTGAGACTCCTCCCTCACTAATTACTATGTTAGAGCTAGACAAAATGTTTGTCGATCGACGAGTTTAGCCTGGTTTAAAGTCGGGTGATTCATCTAAATTGGTGGTCATAAGACCCATTAGTGAGTTGAACCCGTCAGAACTTTTTGATGAAGCTGTCTCGATAGACACAAAGGCGCCACTGAGTGCTCGAAGTGGGTCATCGATCTTGAAAGATCCTAGAGACCCGTTATATCCTTTGGTTAAAAAGTTTCGGGATGTGGTGTGTTACGATCCACCTTCCACTCTGCCTCCTCATCGGGCGTACGTCATGAGGTTGACCTGACTTCTGTAACCAGATACTGTGCAAATCGGCAATGGCTTCCACAAAGTAGCAGTGTGACGTCATTGACGAGTTCTTTCGTGCAAAGAACGCGGCTGGTATGGTGCGTGAGAGCAAGTTTCCGCACTCGACACCAACATTTTGTCTCGTAAAGCCAAACGGCAAGTGGCGTATTTTTCATTCGTTTAATAAGCTTAACGCAGCCGCTATACCGGCACGGACGCATGTTTCTGGAAAGGATGTTTTTTTTTAAAACGCTATAGTAGGATGTGCCATGTTCAGTGCACTTGACTTACTCGATGGGTATTATGATTGCTCATGCGAGCGAGTTAGATTTCGCTTACAGTGCTAAGTACCTTAAGCGGTGTGCTCTGGCTGTGGCTTGTCATGTCTCAAGGGCTGTCTAATGACCCCGCTAAATTTAAACATCTTGTGCAGCAATTGTATTGATTTCACCGAGGATACGCACAAAGCTATTTCGATGACATCTTTTTCCATAGTCGTGCAATCATGGTAGGTCAGATGTGGACAATCACATAGAACATTTTCTTGCAGTGCTCGATTGCATGCTCACGAAAAAGCCGTATTCAAATGCATCGAAATACATTTTTGGTGCACAAGAAATTCCCTTTTTCGGGTGCTATAGTGGGAAGCGTGGACTTCGAGCGGATCCCGCTGAGATAAAGTAAATTCCTAACTGACCGGTTTCGTCGAATCGAAAGTAATTGCGTAAATGGCTAGGCCTAGATAATTACCTGCAAAATACAGTGCAAACTACGCTGGCAAAAGGCAAGTGCTTTAACCAACGTACTCAAGAAGGATGCAGTTTGGTGTTGAGATGCATCCCATGCTCAGTATTTTGAAGCTATAAAGGACAGTCTCCTTCATGCTCCAAATTTGGCTTTGCCTGACCCTGAGTGGCTTTTCAGTGTCGTCTGTAACGCGTCTGGTTATTCAATAGGTTGTGCCTTGTTGCAGACAGATGTTGATGGACATGAGCACGTCATTGCGTACAAATCTTGTCAGCTCAAAGCTACAGAGAAGAAATATCCAGGTCACGACAAAGAGCTACTCGCGATGAAATTTGCTCTTCTTTAGCTTATATTTCATAGACCTGGCTAAAAGCTTTTTTTAATTACCACATATCATGCGTCGTAACGGACTGCGACACATTCTCCTCACCTCTCACAGCGTATGGCCCATTGGCTTTCATTCTTTGCTAAATAAAACTTCGAGGTAGAGTATAAGTTAGGAAAGCAAAATGCTTTGGCTGACGCTTTGTCACGCAGACCTGATTATGAGCTTGATTATGTTACGACTCTGTCGTCATCCACTGTGGATCTAATTAGTGCGGCAAAAGCACGTGATGAGCTTATGTGTATCATTGCTACATGCACTTGGGAGCGACGAATTCAAAGACTCGGACATCAAAGTGTCTGCACGATTACGTGCGAGCTTACATCAATATGTCATCGATCGTGGGTTATTATGTTACTGCAAGGGTATTGATGATGTGCCATGCACTGGCGTTCCTCATGATGAGAAATTGATGTGTCGTATACTCTTTAAGGCATATGGCACTGCATTAAGCGGTCATCATTGTCATGAGAAGACCTATAGCTCAATTACCAGACGTATTGGTGGCCCAAATTGTACAAATGAGTAAGCACACATCTGCGTACACGTGAAACGTGTCCACGAGTCAAACATCAGCACATGCAGTTGCACCGTTCGCTAGTTTACCTGTACCCACAGGGTGTTGGGAGCCCATGAGTATGGTGATGATCAAATTAAGCGTGTCAACCGTGTCATTGCTGACATGTTGCGCAGTCTTTGTGCTGATACGCCTATGCGTTGGAGCTCTGTGCTCTCTGTGGTCATTTTTGCGCCAAACGACGCTTTTCATGCCTTTACTGACTCCACTCACCCACGCGTTCCGTCAACGCTTCCAGTACGTGGTTTTTCTAAAACGGGGTAGCCCGTTACATGATATTGGTATCGAACGGCGTCAAAAGGAGTACTGTCTAGCGTGACAATCTCCTGCCGATCTTATCCGAGATAGGTAGTATTGAAGGAATAATATTCCCTAATGTAGTATATATGTGTGCTCCAGGATTGGTTGATAAAAGACGTGTCAACAAAGATTACCACCAATCGCTACTAGACGCGCGTAATGAGTGGTGAGCAGGTTGTCGTCATACGACGACGTAGTTTAATATAGTTAAATAAAATTAAATTCATATTGGTAGCTTAACTATATTAAATACAGTTCTCTTTTTACCTTTACTCAAACCAGCTGCATGAGTAAATTGTTTTCCTCTGTACGTACTGTTGTACGTGAAGTTTCGTGGCAACCAAACGAAGAATGTCCCTTACACCTGGTAGCACTTTGTAGTCCGTACAACGACTACTAAGTGTCCGTTCAACAAGTTCATGTTGGACGTTGAAGACGACAGCTTTCACGTCATATTTATAGGCTATACTCCTATCTGAGTGACTCAGAGTGGGAGGTAGTCGGCCGCATTAGTGTGCTCATGGGCGAACCCGCTATCAGTGGTATGTTGGAGTCTCTAAGCAGAGACCAGCAGCATGCTGCTATCCCTATAAGGGAAACTTGCCGTTGAAAGACAGAAGATAGTCTTGCTATAACAGCAAGGCTATCATCAGTCGGTGGGCGGGCCGACGCACATGAGTCAACCGAAACCTTGGAAATGGACAAGTCAAGGTGTAAGGAAACCGATGAAGGTTCCCTTTTGAGATGTTTCTTCGAGTTAGGCAATGCCATCAGGGCCCGTCACATCGAGGGTGAAGACATGCAAGTCACCTTCGCCCTGTCAAATTTGACAGGGCGAGCAAAGACTTGGGCATAGGGCTCAAGCTTCACGAACCAAACGTGTTTGAGTCTTTAGAGATCTTTAAGTCTCAACTCAAAGAGACGTTTAAGCCGCCAAGAGCCGAGTCTAGAGCATGCTCTGCACTTTTGAAGCTAAAGCAAGGTAATCGTGACGTGCACGCTTACGTACAGCACCTGCGCTACCTTGCGAGCAGCGTTAAGGAAAACCCTGTTGATGAGCACACGCTTATCAACGTGCTTATCTACGGTCTTGTGGATGGGCCGGTGAAGACTTACATGTTCCGAGAGGACTTCCGTACGCTGGAAAAGGCAATAGCGTATGCGGAACAAGAAGACTTCAGCCTGAGACAGTCTCAGGCTAACTCATCAAACTATCGTCCGTCTGGACGACAGGAAACCGGAAGTCCCGAAACAGTGGATCTCTGTTACATCGAGAGCAAGAACTCTCGCTCTCTGAGTCACAGGCGATCGGCAAGATGCCATCGCTGTCAGAAGATTGGACACTAAGCTCATGAGTATAGTGTCATAAGCACCAAATCACATCCAAAGACAGGACGTGATGATTGCCGTTGGCCGAGGAAAGGTCCAAGGCGCGGGTCCGACTATGTCGCGAAATTGCGACAGCGAGACTGTTAAGCTTAAACGACAGTACGTCGTTGTTGGTATAATATATCTGATAGACCTCTTTGAGTCTAAGACTTCCTCTGTTAAGGAGCGCATAGTAGCTCAGCCACAATTTTTTGTATAGAGATTCCCGCCGAAGGATTAGCGACGCAGTTCAGTTCCACTGAACATATCCAAATTCAGCTGTTCATTGCATTGAAATGGCGCTGCATAAATTTTGCCCAAAAAACGTGCATGATTTATTGATTTCATTGCCAATTTCTCTCGACTGCCGTGCCTATCACCAGTCCTAACAAAACCCGCAAGCAACCATCTATTTCCATGTTCTCGAACTAAAGCTCCGGTTTAGACCTTCTTGCGACATCAATAAAAAGGCTAATTACGACATAGAAAAAGAGGTTCTTTTGTTGATTGTACGGATAACCGCAGCTCGATGTGTGTCTGTAACGGACCACCCCGCTGCATAAGTAATTTCAATTTAGTTGACATGTTACTTAATTAGGGGGCTATTTCCGAGGGAGCGGAAGTAGCACGTCGTACAGTTTAGCTAGTTTAATGGGCTTGGTCCTTTTATTAGCCAGTAACATATGGGTACGCAGATTGAGTGGTTCTTTTGAGTCCAAAAGAACCATTTGTACTTAGAATGATTTAAAAGACAAAAATATAAGCAGAGTTAAAAATACTTTATTCCCTAAAATATGGGTCTAGGCTTCCTAAGCATAGATAGTGTAAGTTAGTACGGATTGTTCTAGCCCCGTTACACCTGGTAGCAATTAGTAGTACTTCCCATGCCCGAGTTTGGAATAAGCGATTCGTTGTACTTTGACGCTCCAGACGTGATTCTGGAGCATGCGACTTTCCACATCTCACTGGTGTTTAGTAGGATGCCCTAATCGCATTGTGGCAATACCTGAAAAGGCATTCGTTGTGTCGCTGATGAAAATAGCGACTCCTGATGGACAACGTCTCGCCATACACGACTTCATGGCTTGCGAGCACACTGAAAATAACCGGCGAGGTTTAGCCCCCTCGCGGACTTCACGGAACATTGCCGTGAAATTGGAGACCTCCGTCTACTCCGGCGAAGGCAAATAACGCTTGTCGCTGCCGCGTTGGTACCGAGAGTTTGACATCGCTATCGCCCTAAGACTTTCCTAGGCTCCTCAAGCGAAGGTCAACTCGTTGTTGACGAGTATCTGTTCCCCACTCTGGAAGCTACCCAGAGTGACCTTCGAATCGCCTTACCGACGCCACAAGAAGAGAAGTTAGAGCGATCAAGATTACTGTCCTTGCGACAGGGCAAGATGGCCATGCACGACTACGTGCAGATGGATCGACATTTGGAGTCGTTCATTATCACGCATCCCATGGACATTTACACACAAGTGAACGTATTTGTCGATGGCATGTGTGAAGGGCAGGGTCGCCTATCGCTGGAGCGCGCGGAGCCTGCCACGTTTAAAGAGGCTTTCGCTATCGTTCTCCGTGATGACTTAAGAGTCATCAAAGCCTACACCAAGTCTTCAACTGTTACCGCTGTTAGATCAGCGGGCCCGGAATCCATGGAGATTGATGTATTTGAGTCGTCAGTTGATCGACGACGTGATACGTCCTACCAGAGCAACGTCTGTAGCGGATGTCAGATGATTTGCTTTCGATATGAAAGCTGGGACAATGCGCGGCTGAATGCTGCGCTCCAGCACAAACTTTGGTGCATGCGACGGACGCCCATCATTAGGGAAATGCTCCGCCTACTCGTCCTAGACGGACGAGACGAGTAGGTGCAGGGAATTCTACTGCTTTGGAGGGAGGTCAGGGTTTAACGTTGGCAGCCCGACCTCCCAGCCCATCTGTGCTGCTTGTACAATTAAATGCCATCACTACGAGTGACGATTTACGCCTGATCATTGTCAGACTGCACATCACCGGTGCCCGGCGACCTCTACGAGCGCTCCTGGATTTAGGAGCGACAAAACATTTCTTCCGTGAATCTTGTGTGTCGTTGCTGCCACCCAGCATCCAGGTCCGCGAGGGGCTGCCCAAGTTGTTGTCAAGCTCGCGGACGGAAAACCACGTCGAGTATAGAGGCGCGAAGTTTCGCATCCGTACACATTCGACAGCTTTCGCAGCAACGACAATTGTTTTGATGATTGAGATGAACTGTGCATTCGATTGCAATCTGGGCATGCCATGGTTGGCACTTTACAAGCCCCCTTTTGACTGTTTAGCAAGATCAGTGAGACGTCTACGCAAGTTCGACGTCAGCGAAGTGTTTACCCATCTCTTGGTGTCCCCGAGTGATTGCTTCGAGCGATGGCCCTCTATGCACCGCTTGTGCCGTTCTAATGAACGCAAGGACGATGTCTCCTCGCTTTGCAGCGAGGAGTATTTCACGGACGAGTAGTGGCTCACGCACGAGGAAGACGCGGTAGAACAGGGGTTCCCGCACGAGAGAGAAGTGGTCGAACCGGGGTACCCACCTTCACCTAAATTGTGGGTAAGCAGAGTCTTCCACACAACTAAGATGAGGACGAGTCGTCATCTTAGTTGTGTGGAAGCCTCTGCTTACCCACAATTTAGGTCACCGAGTGCGATGTGGACGGACAGGAGTCCGTCCATGGTTGAACAGAGTTCCCATCATTTCCCACTGTGGTAGAACCGAGGTTCCCACATGGGTAATTTGTGGTAGAGCAGAGGCTTCCACACGGGATTACTGTGGTAGAGAAGGGGCTCCTGCTAAAAGCGTCGACGGAAAAGTAAAGGTTTCTCCCAACACGCGATTTCGACATTCTGGATGAGTTCATTTAGTGTCTAGAGAGGGGTGATGGATTGTCACCTAGCTGCGGATCGCCAGCTTCGAGCATGGACATAAGGCACAATGATAACGCTAGCATCGAGAATACAGCGTTGGAATGCGTCGATGCTGTCGTGTACGTGGATGGGAATCGTCAAAGGCGCCAATACACTAAATTCGTGATTCCACCTCGCGACGCGTCTTCGATTACGAGGCTTCCAGGGCTCTCCTGGAAGCATTTTTGCATGACCTATAGGGAGGTACGGTGGAACAGATTTGCCTCATCACCAATGAGGTGGCCCTGAGCTAAACGAGGAGCACATCACGCGCTCCCGAAGCGCTAAGTCAAAGTCAGCGCGTAAAGAAAGATTTGCATTGCAGTCATGGGAGGCTCTGCGCGAGTCCGGTAACCCTGTCTACGAGGTTGCTCGAGAATGCGCAGACGTCTTTCCGGAAAAGATTCCGGCTGAGCTTCCTGCCGATCGTGGCGTACGGAATGAGATTGATCTCGTGAAAGGGTCAAAGTATTGTGTGACCCGGCAGTGGCCGTTGCCTAGAGACCAGGTCGAGGACATCAATGCTCTGTTTTAAGGTCACCGTAAGTCGGGCCACGTGCATAAGAGTATCTCACCACACTCGATCCCGACTTTCTGTGTGAAGAAGGCTACGGGAGGATGGCGGATAGTGCATGCATTTAAAAGGCAAACGATGCTACTATCCCCGCGTAAACGCTCATCTAAAAGAAAGACATGGTGTTAGGTTCCATTCCGGGAAGTGTCATCTTCAGCGCCGTCGACCTGATTGATGGCTCCTACCAATTTCTGATGCGACAGAGCGACATACCACTCACAGCGGTGAGAACGCCAAGTGTCATGTTATGTGAGTGGCTGTTGATGCCACAAGAATTGAAGAACGCACCAGCCACTTTCAATTGCATGGTATCTCAAGTGTTGAGACCGCCTCAAGATTTTGCTCCAAGCTACTTCGATGACAATTTTGTCCACAGTCGCGCTGAGGGCAACCTCAGTGCTGTCCAAGTACATCTTTAACACTTAAATCAAGTGTTTCAAGTCATGCAAGACAACAAGTTGTATGCAAACTAAAAGAAGTGAGTATTTAGTGCACCAAATGTTCCGGTGCTGGGCTGGTATTTGAGCAAATCAGGGTTTAGTAATGATCCAGAGAAGGTGTCGTATATCTTTTCTTGGCCAACACCCAAGTACCCTACGGAGCTGCGTCAATGGCTCGGTCTAGCCAAGTACTTGTATAAGTATACCAAGGATTACGCCGGTTCTATACAACCTCTGTCGTCATTGTTGAGGAAAGACGACGCGTGGTCGTGGCTTCCTGAGCATCAAGCGGCATTCGACGCAGTGAAGAAGAGTCTGGCGTCAGAGCCAGTACTGGTACTCCCGGACGACACCAAGCCGTTATACGGGGTGTGTGATGCAAGTGAAGTTGCTATTGGTTGCGCCCTCATGCAGTTTGATCTTGAGGGCCGTGAAGGAGTCGTGAGTTACCAGCCGCGACTGATGAAGCTTGAGGAGATGCAATATCCGGTTCATGACAAGGAACTGCGAAGTGATGCGCTGTGCACTAATTAAGTTTAGAGCACAACTACTGGGCGAGCGCACTTTCGCCCTGTATACTGGAAATGCATCGCTGCGCACAGCGATGAAGAACCCACATCTGTCTCAGCGAATGGCACGACGGCTCTATTTCTTCGGCGAGGCCATCTTCTTCGTGAACTACGAGCCAGGCAAGACTAACTTTCTTGCTGACGCGCTGTCACGACGCCTGGATTGCGACCCTCGGATGGCACTGAGTTGTCAGGATACTGACGACGACGATGAGGACGATCGTTGTGCAACGTGTGTTTCATTGAACCTAACTCGGGTCACATTCGAGTTTTGCTTCTTCGATAAAATCGTCGCGGCTTAGCTAGCGATCCAGATTATGCGGACATTATTGCCTATCTGCGCGCTCCCAGTGATGACGCTCTGGGAGCTCTTTCGCGAACGAAGCGTGATCACATCCAGCGATACACTATGGAAGGTGATTTGCTGTTATTCAGCATCGATCAATTCGATGCTCCTCGAATGGTAATCTCGAACGACTTAGATCTCCGTGCTCGCATCATCCACGAGTACCATGATGCCCCAGTTGGCTGTCATTTGGGCCGCGAAAAAGACATTCGCGGCTGTGTCGCGTGACGTTTTCTGGCTCCACATGTCCAAGTGGGTTCGCAAATGGATTTGCAGATGCTAAATCTGTCAAAGAGTGACGCCATCTCCATCGTCGCAAACCCCTGCGACCCTTGCCGATTGTAGCTGAGACTTGAGGCTTAGTGTCGATGAACTTTATCTTCAGGTAGCGCCCGACAGTTAGAACCGAACCGGTTTTATGGTCCTCGTGAAAAATCTAGCAGGATGACAAACTTGTTGCCTGTTCATGTAAAAAATCACCGCGGCTGAGACCGCAGTGCACTTCATTGACACAGCGTGTCGCCATCACGGTTTACCATACGACATTGTCTCGGAACGTGATCCTTAATTTACATCTGCGTTCTAATCCTTATTGTTTGAGATCCTTGGCACATATTGCATATGTCAACGACATCCCCTCCGTAAACGGATGGGCAAACAGACAGGGTCAACTGGGTGAATGAAGATGTCCTCCAGCTTATGCTACTTCTTTTTCATGTCAGAGTGCCTTCTTGCCACTCGCTGAGTTTTCACTCAACAACGCTGTTCACGCGTTAACGGAGTCGACGCCATTCTTTGCATATTAAGCTCGTTACCCCTGAGTTTCTGCTCTTCTCGCCGTGAATCATCCCACGGCTCTTCGTGGCTCCGCTCTATATATGGGGGGGGGTGAAAGTGACAATCAACGACCGAGTGCAGCTCACGGTATTCTAAGCGCATACGTAGTCAACCATTCCAAGTCGAATTCCGCTGTTATGACGCCACGAGACGTGGCTTCCCCACTTGCTCGATGGACTACGCAAACACTAATTGACCCTTCTTCGGGTATACTATCACCTAAATCCAACTACGCGCCGATGAGTCGGCGCAACCAATTGATGACATGGCTGGGTCGGAGTTCAAACTTCAACGTCAAGCGATAAAGAGGTTTGTACGAGATAATCTTCGTTCTGCAGTGGATAAGCATAAAGAGAATGCAGACAAACGTGGAAGAAAGAACACGAGCAAATTAAGAAAAGTGACGGTGTGGTGCTATCTACTGAAGGCCTACGCGATTCGGCAGTAACCAATTTAGGCGCGAGCAAGTTCGCCACGTTTCATCACTCACAATGCTCAAGGCAATTAGCGACGCCTACAAGCTGGATAATCCTTCGTCGTTGCGCCTACACCCGACAATCTACGATGGGCGACTGAAGGAGTACCGTCCTGCCACGCTTCACAAATTGTTTCCGACCCCGGAGGCAAAGGATCAAACGGTGACCTTCCCTCCCTTCTTGCTCGACGCGCCAAGGACATCGGAAGCGGCTGAGTTCCAGTCTGCGCGTGCCCAAGAACCTGGTGTTTCAGGTTCCTCATCCGTTCGAGCATTTTGCGGTTCGACTGTCGAATCTCGCTTGCAGTCCTCTCATCCCGTGCAGCACGCTCAGTGGCAGCCTCAGCTTCCAGCTGGGCATCGACAGCCTTGTTCACCACTGCATCCACATCGTTCTGGGTAATCAGGACGCCAGCACTATCATCGCGAGGGCCCACCTCCGCTGTGGATGCGTTAGGGCAAAGCACTGGATTGTGGAGGGTTAACTGGGTCACAAGGACCCTCGTCGCGACTGCAAACACACGCGCCGTACCAACCGCGCGCAAGTATCGTGTGCGCTGGCTCGAATCTATACCCGAGAAAGACACGTAGAGGACCGCGTTCGTCACTTTCTCATGACGTTCCAGACGTCGTTCGGGCATATGAGTCCGTGGAAACGCCCAATCTTGATGCGTCCGACAACGTATGTGTTCTTGTGGCGAACGAGAACGAGATGATCGACGACGGCGTCGTGGTGAAGTGTCACCACAACGACGAGACCAAGAGCGACGACGATGTCGTGTTTAAAGATCATATCGACTAAGAGAACTAGAGTGTCGTGGAGAACGTGTATCACCACGACCACGAGAGCGAGATCGTCGTGGTAGATATGCATCGCGACCACGAGAACGAGATCGTCGTGGTAGATATGCTTCAATACCACGAGAACAAAAGTGGTGTCGCCATATCGACGCACCACGAATAACTGCATTCTTCCGCTCAATTAAGCTGCTCTCATACCTTCCAATACAGGGCTGATCACATTCGCTGATTGGATGTTCAGCGCCGTTCTGTCGCTAAGCTGCGCGAGTTGGACGAGGCATCGAGTCACAAGAGTAACAAGATTTGTGCACATGGACGTAGCAGAGTCGGTCTTTGTTCCAAGCGTTTTCGCATATCTTCTCTCGCAGCACGCCGATAGAATGATCGGCGTGAAATTCTTCACGATTGGCTTGCCACTATTGGAATTTCCTTCCATCTTCAAGCATCCGGTTCCATCGCCGGACGAACGCGCACCAAGAACGCTGCAGTGAGTCATACGAGATGCTTTCAAGGCACATCCCGCGCAACCTGCGGAAGCGGCTGAAGTAATCCTGCATCGTTCCAAGAGAGTCCGGGGCTTGCGCTCCAGACAGATCGTATAGCGCCCAAGGGACTAAGTGCTGGTCCATCACGCAGTCTCCTGAACTCCCGCTGATTGCGTGCAGGGGTGCTGTGTCATTGGTATTCGAGTATTCGATAATCGTTTGGTTTGATTGACCGTCTGGGTTTTGCAGTTGAGCACTCACGGTTCGTGAGTGCTGTTTTAAGAAGGGGTTGATGTAATGGGCCACCCCGTTACATAAGTAATTTCGATTAAGTTTACATGTTACTTAAGTAGGGGGCCATTTCCGAGGTAGCGGAAGTAGCACGTCGTATATTTTAGCTAGTTTAATGGGCTCGTTACCATTATTAGCTAGTAAGATGTGGGTACGTAGAATTAGTAGGTTTCCATGAGTCCAAGGGAAACATTCGTACGTAGGATAATTAAAAGACAAATAAATATAAACAGAATTAAAATACTTAATACCTGAAACTTGGGTCTAGGCTTCCTAAGCATAGATAGTGTAAATTAGTACGAGTTGTTCTAGCCCCGTTACATTGTCGTTGTCTAAGTCTGGATGACAAACTAGGTGCTCGATCATTTCCTATACTGCTAATGACGCCGGCGATTCCATCGTAACTGTCATTTTATGCTGCTGTAATTAGCACTGCATTTGTCTTTACGAATTGGTACGTACAGACCATGCGAGACACTTCCTCCTTTTATTGCAACGTCGCCACAGATTCGACGCGTTTTGTTTGGCCCCATTTGCCGCTTCCAAGACCCGTCAAACGCGCTCGCACGATTGTTGAAGGGATACGAGGACACGTGACTAGCTGCAGCTTCATCCCCTATGATACGAAGGTAGCAGTAATCGATATGAGTAAATACACGACACACGTAACACTCGTCCATAAATCGATCATATGGAGTATGAACAGTATAAATAGCCTAGCACGTCAGTAGGGTCTCATTGCTGTCGTAGATTCAGCTTTTGTAACGGGGTACCCTTTGTCCGGGTGCCACGAAACTTTACGTACACTGGTACGTGCAGAGGACGCTAAACAACTTAAACGACTCGTTCAAGTAAAGGTAAAAAGAGAACTGTGTGTAATATCGTTAAGCTATCAATTTAAATTTAAGATTTATCCAACTATATTAAAATACGTCGTCGTATGACGACAACCTGCCCACCACTCATTACGCGCGTCGAGCAGCGATTGGTGGCAATCTATGGTTGATGTGTCTTATATTAACCAATTTGGAAGCAGCGCATGAATCTTATCTAGAAGGGGATATGTTCCTTCAACATTATCTATCTCGGGTAATATTGGTAGAATATTGTCATGCAAGACAACATTCCAATTGACACCGTTCGACATCAATATCATGTAACGTGCTACCCCGTTACATCAACCCCTTTAACCATCAATCAACTGTTGATAAAATAAAATTGATTGAGACAGGGTGAACACCGTTGGATCACCATGGGAAAGGGAGAACTTGTTGGTCAAATCCCATTCATTTGCCAATTTAACGCATGGTTTCGAAAGATAAGCGATTTGCTACTGCAGCTGCAAGAAGTGCGGCTGCACGCATGCGTGTAGCCGGAAAGAATACTTCTCACACCTCAGCAGAAGGTGATTCGTCGCCTGTTGTTGTGAATCGTCCACGTGGTGACTCACCACGTGGGACAGGTACATCCGCTGCATCTGCAGCGGGTACCGCAAATCGTATTCAGATGGGTCTGAGATAGAGCTCATCTATTCTGGCGAGTCGGATGATGTATTTGACTCGAAGGCGACCCCTCACGCCTCCGGATCACCCGAAGAGGACTTTGCAAGAGCCAGGTTGGCTGGATCTGGACAACGCGGCGGTATCATGTCCGAGATCTTCGGATCGAGCGATTGTTCCTACAAATCTCCGCCTCACGCAAGTCCATCCAACGATAGGACGCGTGGGGAGGTGGTGATGCACCTTTACATCACCACGAGCGATTTAATACAAGGGATCGGGGTAACACTGGTTCCAGTGCTCATCCTGGCACCAATTAAAAGGCCAGGGACCGAAATGTCCTGCTCCGCTCTCCCCAAGTGGATTATCCGTAATTACCGCCATCCAGAGAGTTGGACCGGTTGGCCGGCATGACTACCGAACAAGATCGAATCCCGTTGTTCGATTGCAAGAAGATTTGCCCTCCTGATTCCAGCACGGAAACTATCCGTGCTGAGGAAGAAATCTTCACCGATGCGTTCTTCAAACATCGTTGGTACAATGGCAGCCGTGTTCGAGACGGCAAAGCCTTGGTGCAAGGATGGAATGCCCTCATCCATAACATCGAGTGCCTTGGCCGTGAGTGTTTGCTTGCCAAACTTGATGCAGCTCGCATCAAATTTGAGGGACGCAACCCAGTAGGGGCGCAATAAAAGTTGCACCGGCTGTCAAGAGAGGAAGGATTACTCTGTCTCTCGTGGGGAACTCGTGTCCACGTTGCCTGGACAAATCGAACCGTGCCCCTAGAGAGGTCCACCTTCCTAATCGTCCCTACTGGAGGGCGCGCATCCCTTCTGAGATGGCCAAAAGGATTGACACCTTGCAATTCCTGTACTCGCATTCGGGGAGGTCGTTTTCCGACGGCCCTTCTTCGAACGCAGTGGGTGGGTCTCGCCGTGCTACGCGACGAGACCAAGTACGTCAACATTCAGCTGGGCACGAGGCTCCCAGCTGTACGACACCGGTGCATGACCACGCCAACGAACGAGGAAACTCGTCCGGACGTCGTCCACGTCGCGGTGGTCAACGCTTTCTAGGGTGGTTCAAATTAAGCTCCACTAGAAAGCTTTGACCACCGCTTGTGTCCAATAAAGGATGTGGTGGCGGCGGGGACACCTGATCCATATCGAGGGTCGGATCAGCTTGCTGTTCTGGAGCTGATCCGTGTAAACGATCAGTTGCAAGATGACCTGTCTCACGAACGAACTCGGCGTTATGAGCTCCAAGACCTTGTGAGGGTTTTTACAATTACCTAACGCACGATTGTTCGGACGATCGTGCCGCTTTTGCGTTCACGCAACTTGAGAACGAACGTTCGACTAGTTCTCTTCGTAGTGAGCTGGCTACAGATCGCCAGGAAACCGCTCAACTGCGTGAGCAGGTCGCTTCGCTAGTCGACCAGTCTGGATTGTTAAAACGGGACCACTCGAAGGTGGCCTCGGTCCTTGACCGCGAAGGTGTTCTTCGCCTTTCGAAAGGGCTCGTACTGATAGTACGGACGGAGACATCCAACGTAAAATGTTACATTCGTACGCATCTTACGGGGCAGTTCAATCGTGTATGCGTTGCCCATTTCGGCGCAACACACAAAATGGACCTATGTACTTGGGCAGTAATTTACTGCTGCCCATTTTTTTCACTGCGTGTTTCGGTAAGTTTACTGTAGACAGTAAATTTAATCCCCTTCTTTAAATCAAAGAACATTTTCTCTTCCTTGTTTGTATGCGTTTCTCTTATGTTTGTCTGCGTTTCTCTTCTGTATGTCTGTTGCATCTGCAATAGAATATTGAACGAAGTGGACAACCGCTTCGCGAGTCAGCAAAAATTCCTCTGCTGATTCATCCTTGTCAACAGCAGTGCGCTTCGTGTGCACTGCTATAAGAACGTTGTCTTCACCAGTGAGGGTGTCATCGTCCTCACTTTGGCAGTCATTGGCGATGCTGAAAATACCGGCATCGTCGTCATCATCATCATCGATATCGATTGCATCGACATCGTCATCCATCACGTCAGCATCATTGCTGACGGGTGATGAGCAAGAACCAGATCGGCTTTTGTTCGAGCGAGTCCATCCCCCCCTCTTAAACTAGAGTCACACTCTAAGAACGCGGGTAAACGTGGATGGAGTAGGCCATTCACGAAGAACGGTGTATGTGTTGTCGACGCGTGACCGAGTTGTTAATGGCAACTTCTGCCATCGGTAAGAGCTCACTCCAACTCGTAAATAAGTGAACAAACCCTCGAATTACCTCTTCGAGGACGCGGTTGACGCGTTACGTCTACCCATCTGTTTTTTGATGGTCAGAAGTCGACATTTATAAATGTTTTCCAAGTGAATGGAACGCGGATTGCCAGAACTCCGCCGTAAAGCGGGGGTCCCTATCGGAAACGAGTTTACGGAGTAATCAGTGAAGTTGGAAGATATTATTGATGAAGCCACGAGCACAGCCCTGGTCTGTGATTGACTCTGGGACAGCAAAAAGATGTACGATCTTGCTGAAACGATCAACAAACATAAGAATACCA